ATATATCCATCTATATCCAAGTATTTCATAGTATTTCTAGATCCTATAGTTACATTTACAGTATATATATATATATGTATATAGTTAGTTCCTATATCCATCTATATCCCCATCAACTATCCCTATCAACTATAACAAGAATCAATAGTATCTATAATAGTTGATACATCTAGAATCAACTATATATAGGGATTCCCAGTTACTATATCCATCCGCCTCTGGCCCCGCGCTTTTCTGCTCGGCTTCGCCTGGCCAGGGTGAGTGAAACAAACTGCTGCGAATGGGGATTCAACATCATTCAACCTAGAAACATGATGAATAAATTTGCATTACGATATTTAAAGTTCATCTATATATATATATATGATAGCGAAGTTGGTTTATAACTAGTTGAATTCCATGGTTTATGATAAATAAAAATATAAATATATATATATATAAATATATCTATCAAGAGGTTCTATAAACCGACATCCCTCGGGGCACCGGCCCCAAGTGGCTTGTGATTATGGGGTCCAAAAAAAAGAGCCAACTTGCTCTATAACTACAATATATACCCTAGAGCAAACTAACATAGATGTGGAAAATCACAATTTCAATAGCTAATTCAGGAATTCATGCATAAATGGGCCTTATTTTCATCCATTTTCTACATCTAGGTTAGTTTGCCCTAGGATAACTAGGACCCTCTGGTTTCATGAAACATAGCAATTGGAAATCTCCTGAACATATGTGAAAATCTTGTCTGTTTGGTGGTTTCAACCCCTCTGAAAAATATGAGTCAGTTGGGATGATTATCCCCAATCTATGGAAAAATAACAAAATCATGTTCCAAACCACCAACCAGATATATTGTTATTCCAATGATTAACCATAGATTAACCATAGATTAACCATAGATTAACCATAGATTAACCTGTTGTTTCCCTGCCAGACACGACCTCGGAAGTGCCCGGCAATGCTCCACATCCTGATTTCACTTCGCCGGAATCCGGGAGAAAATGGAGAGATCCGCAGCTCAAAAAAGGCGAGTTATCCTTTAAAATCTATGTATATCATGGTATATCTGTGTAAATCTATAGGTATATCATGGTATATCTGTGTAAATCTATAGGTATATCATGGTATATCTGTGTAAATCTATAGGTATATCATGGTATATCTGTGTAAATCTATAGGTATATCAGAGTATATCTGTGTATATCTTAGATGATCCTTCAAACAATAAGGCTTTATAATGATTGATGTGGATTGGTACCCTCAGGGGGAATTTAGCATGGCTGGAAAAAATCAACTAACTCCCAAAATGCCAGAAACATCGGAAAATACATGAGATTATCATGGATCATCATCGACAATGGTAATTTTCCATTGCCGGGATAAAATACTGGAGCGTACCCAGCAGATCTTGGTTCATTTCAAGCTGGGTATGATGTGTTCCTCATGCTTTACCTGAATCCTACCCAGCCAAGGTTTTCTATGGTGGATGAGCCATCCGAAAGCAACCACCATTTGGTGTCCAAAAGGCCCCCTCCGCAATGACATCCCGTGACCCTTCTTGTCTTTTGGGTGACCAATTCGGATGGATTGTCCCACCTCCAACCGCCATCTTGCCGTGACCCATCTGTCTTAGATAGCTCGCAAGAACATATACCATCTGGTCATTTAACATAGCCATGGTAAAATCCCTTGCAAATGGAGGTATTAATGGGAAAATCATCTATAAATGGGCCATTTTCCATGGCTATGTTAAATAACCAGAGGGTACATGTCCATAAAAAACCAAACGGTTGAAGTACTAAACTAACGATCCAGTTAGTTTCCCTAGACTTGTTCAGAACATCCCCATGAAATATCCCCATAGTTGTTACGCTAATCCAGCGATTTCTTGCCAGATGTCCCTTACTTTGTTTATGGTATATACTATCTAGTGATGATTTCACTAGTTTTCTTTGGTACATAACCAACATTCATGTCATATGATATAATGATATACCCAACTATATATATATATATGGAGTATGTAATGTATATAAATACAATATATATATACATATATATATATACACGTATATATATATACACAACATTTTACCCCAATAACTATATATCATGCGTTCAAAATAACCAACATAAATGAACATTTATCTGGGTAAATTATCATAATTCACGAAGCATCCCTCATTGCTTTCCCCAGTTGCCATTGGCTCATCCACCCCATCCCATCTCATCGCATCGCGCCAAGAGACATGGTCCGGAAGGCCGGCGGAACTCGGCGGAAGGAACCTGGGAAAACAATGGAAACCATGTTTACTGCAGCAACAATGAGACTCAAAAATCTAATAATCGGAATATCATTGCAGTTCATCTTTGATACCCTGAAGAAACATGAGCTGGTCAATGTTGTTACCGTTTATGGCAAAAAATGAAAAGCAAGGATGACCCAAATAGTAAGAACAAAGTGACATTCACAGACCAAATTTCTAGATCATAAATGATATTAAATGATCATAATACGGTGGATGTTCCCCCAGTCATATGGTAAATTCGTAGGTTTTGACCCATCCCCATCCAAGTGGTGTACCAAAGGGGTACCAAACCACAGCAGGAGGAAGCCCCTAAAGAGGGTAGTCAAGAACGTCATAGAGCAACCTCCTACAATATATATATATATACATGTATGTCAACATTTTTGTTTTTTTAAATCAGGATCGAAGATGTCCGATATTCTATTTACTTCAGGATGACTTTAATAATATAGTCACTATTATTTCAATAATAATATAGTCAGGATTAGTCAGGATATACTCTATCTATATATATATATATACTATATATATATACTATATATATATTGATATATATATATATATTGATATATATATATTCATATATATTCAACTATCTCACCTGAAAATATGATTGGTTTCCCAAGGCGGAGTCCTACAGACAGATCCCAAGGATCCCCACCTTCGTCTGCGTCAGTCGTTGAGGAGATCTCAGTTCTCATGTGCGCCTGGTGTTGATCAAGGGGAAAGTCCGGCAGGCCATTGTCAAAACATTGTGTATAATATCATACATATATACATATATGTATATATTATAATATGTGTATATATATATATGCAGTCGGATCTTTTACCGGCCCACAAATTCGACATTTTTGGTACATATCATCTTAAACCTCTTGGGGTGGGGGTTGGGTGGGGTGGGGTGGGGCATGTTAACGTTCGCTTGCACTTGCGTCATGAAGTTGATGCTACGTACGCATGGGGTTGGGTGGTGTGGGGTGGGGCATGTCAACGTTCGTTTGCACTTGCGTCATGAAGTTGATGCTACGTCACGCATGGGGTTGGGGTTGGGTGGGTGGGGTGGGGTGGGGCATGTTAACGTTCGCTTGCACTTGCGTCATGAAGTTGATGCTACGTCACGCATTGGGTTGGGGTTGGGTGGGGTGGGGCATGTTAACGTTCGCTTGCACTTGCGTCATGAAGTTGATGCTACGTTACGGATGGGGTTGGGGTTGGGTGGGGTGGGGTTGCACGTTGCGTCATGAAGTTGATGCTACGTCACGCATGGGGTTGGGGTTGGGTGGGGTGGGGCATGTTAAAAATCGCTTGGACTTGCGGCATGAAGTTGATGCTACGTTACGGATTGGGTTGGGGTTGGGTGGGGTGGGGTGGGGCATGTCAACGTTCGCTTGCACTTGCGTCATGAAGTTGATGCTACGTTACGCATGTCGTTGGGGTTGGGTGGGGTGGGGTGGGGCATGTCAACAGCTGTTGGACCATTCTGAAAGCTGGTGTGCCAGATAAGATAGCTTCAAAGTGTAGATCCAAACCCAATCCCTTGCTGTGGAAGTACATCCGCAGCGCACAATGGCGCTGGGAGATGAACTCTGCAGACTTGCTGGCCAAAACGGGCCTCTACCTGGCAAAGCTGTGAGCTGAAAAAAGGAAAACCGAACTCGGAACGTTTTTGACCACAAAATGCTGGAAGGGTTGACGAAAGCATCTTGCGATGAACTTGTTTAAGAAACTTTTTTGGACCCAGAATGTGCGTTTTGCTAGCACGAGAACGACGTTTTTGAGAAATCATGGGACGGTGAAAGATCCGTCGGGATATATGTATATATATATACATATATTATAATATATGTACCTATATATATATAATGTATATACATATGTATAATACACACTATAGAAACACCATGATATACAAATCCTGGAGACCGACATCTGGACAATTCAAAACACTGACCTACTCCATGGCTACTCCATGGGGTATGGTCAGCCATCCCACAATGGAAACCCTGGAGTGATGACCATCTCCCAATGTTTTTCACCGGGCATAGATATCTATAGTATAGTCAATAATCTATAGTTATGCCTAAACTGGAAATCAGAAATCTGTTATCAATAACAATATGTATGTATTATATATATATATTATATGTCTAAGCATTCCTTTTATGCTGGCGTTGATGTGAGGTTGCGATAATTTGCCCCTTCAATCAAATGTGCCACGGTTGCTGAAACTTGCCAGAATGGTCCACACCTAGGGATGCGAAATTCGCAAGCCCTCATGATATGTTCACTAGCTCTGCTTGTTGAACCCCTTGGCCGAATAAAAAAAACTTCACCAGGGGATCATTATCCCTGGTTGGAGTGTTCCACTTTTGCATGTAGCGCAAGGATCGGATCTGGTAGGCGATGCGTCATTTCATGCCATTTCATGCCATTTCACAGCATCTTCGAAGATGAATGTCAGAACATCCACCGTCGACTGAGTCTAATCCTTCCATACATTACATGGCAAAAAACGGACAAGAACTCATGAACATCTCAGCTAAAATCACTGAAATATACTGAAATAACATCATCCAATCATCAAACATCCAAAAAAAACGGACAATCTCAGAGAAAATCCCAGCCAAAATCACTTAAATAAACTATTCATCCGACATCAAACATGGAATCCAGGCTGTGGGGCGCCTCCATCATGGTCTTCTGCAAGATCTCATCCGAGGTTTGCCCGGCCAAGGTCCTGCTGACTCTCAGAATGTGAGGCCCAAAAACCAGGCCCAGATACAGTCTGAGAATGTGATTGGAGCCATAGGGTTATAGTTATATATATATAACATCTATATCTATATAGATAATTAAACCATTATATATTTATATTTGAATAGTTCGTACGAGTTAATGGGATTTATAAACGAACAATCACAACTGTGCGGCCCCACCTCGTAAGTCGATACTACGCCAAAGTTAGGGTTTGGAAAAATCCTTGCGAATCACGAAGTTTTACACATGTTTTTGGGAGCGAACAGCCTGTAGCCATTCAATCTGGTAAGTATCTACTCACAGTGAGTGGGCATCGGTAAAACCATCAGTGGTTTCGGTCATTTTCACCCAAACCATGCATCTTCATCCTTAAAACGCAACTCAAAGTTCATCAAACTTATCTAAGCCAAGAAAAATGAACGACTTGATTCTGAAAGTACCCCAACTATGCGGCTCAACTTTGATTGCAAGATTCAATGTGAACCCCGGCCTCGTCCTGTTTGGTCGCCCTATTGTTTGTTTCCCCCGCAAAGTTTGCAGCAGCCCACTACCCAACTTATTAATTAACCAATCACTTGAATGATTTTTGGGTATCACATTTCAAGACCCCCCTATTCATATATATATATATATATGCGGCATCCGAGCAACACTGTTCAGAGATGGGGGTGGCTACGATTTCTGACATGCAAACTATGCTGCACTCATGAAAAACACCACCATCTGCACCCGGTGGTTCATCCCACTTAGCAAGTAGGTTATAACCCCAGTTGTAAGTGTACTAACCCTACTTATCCCGCTTATAAGTATCTTAATCCGCTTTTTCGATTGATCAAATTGTGCTCTAAATAACACACATGTTGTTTCGCAGTTTATTACTATAGGGGCATGGGAGAGGGAGGATTTCATAATAAGGAGAAGCGACTATATATGGGTCCAAATTTCAAGACACCCAAACCCACATCAGTTGATTCTTGTGGGGTCTGCAAGCCCATCTTCAACTGGTTCAATCCTCCAACCCTGGTTGAATTCATCCAATGTTTCATCCCCGACTTGACTCATCTTAACTGATTTCAGCTGATTTCAACTGTTTTCACTTGATTTCATCCCCATTTTACCAAAGCACTTCCTTTCACCTGCACCCCCGCGGCCGTGGCCGCGGCACCTGACTGGCTTGCGCCCCGACTGGTGCGGCGCATGGAAGTCCAGGACCTGCGCGCCGTCGCGGTAGATGGTGAAGACTTGTCCAGCGGCCAACTTGGCCTTGGGGCAAAACCACCGAAGGGGACCGAAGCGGAGGTACCCAAGGGGGTAACCAGCTACAGGGGTATGAATCGAACTTTTTAAGCCCCGGGATCACAGATTGTGGTAGATGTTTAGTAATAGTATCAACTAGTATCAACCATTTAATTATTCAGGTACCCAATTTTGACCTATACCCAACTGGCTGAAGGAAACCCCTCAGCTAATTCATGGAGGTTTCAGCTGGATTTTAATGGGAAAGTCAGCTATAAATGGGGGTGTTCCCCCAATGTTAACTACTGCAAGATAGGAATTTATGGGATGCAACCATTCGGCGGCTGAAAAAAAACAGGGCGATTTCCCTGGAAATCACCACAAATGGAGGTTTATCGCTAGGAACATCATCCGACTTACTGTGAATTTTCCAACCAAGGCAATTGTGAGGGTAGCGTCAATGATGCGGCGAGACCTGTGGGCAACACCAATGTGGTAGACTTGATAAGACGAAACTAAGTGTGTTAACGAATACTAAATTAGAATTACCCTTTTAAACATCAAACAGTGATAACACCCATGTGTACTGAAATAGGTTTCAAGGTGGTATAACCATACTTAATGGATGACTAATGCATGATTGGTGGATGGTTTAATCTATATTGATGGATATTCATGGAATGTTTTTTCATCAAATGGGGAAGCAAGATGATCCTAAAATAAATAATGGGACAAAAATTAGGGCAGATAATCTTCATATCGTTCCACTGAAAAATCTTCGATTCCATGGAGCAAAGCCTCCACGAACTATCCATGGATCATCCCTTAGAGGTTGTGGAGAACCCATGAGAACCCACTACCATCTGGTTATGACTAACATAGCCATGGAAAATCACCATTTTTTTTATAGGTAAACCCAGGTAAACCATCTATAAATGGGCCATTATCCATGGCTGTGTTAAATAACCAGAGGGTATATTTATAGACCATTTTCCTGGGGTTTTTCCACATCTATGTTCGAGGCTACCCCAGGCTACCCTCAAACAACCGGGGAAGGACATCGATAGCTGACCTGGAAACCTGACCTGGCGAAGTCACCGCTTTGAAAGTCAGCGGATGCCGGATGTTGAATCAAACATAACTATAGGGTTTATTATAACTATATATATATCATATTATCACTCAGATATCACTAACTATAGGGTTATAGATATTATCACTCAAATATCACTCAGATTAATATAGGTATACATTCCAACAGAAAAAACAATGCAAATGTCCACTCAGCCATGTGAGCTTCGCGGAGCAGCGAAGCTGACAATGCTGGACGTGAGGGACACCACTTGGGATGGGGATTTATCATCTTAATTAATATCCATAGTTTTGTTGATGTGTTAAACTCATGAACCAAGAAACGGATGATAAATGATAAATTAATAAAATACATGTCTAGCAAACAATTTCAAGTGGGTATGCTTGAAATGGAGTTCAAGTGGGAGTTCATTAACAACCATTTTTCCCACTAATCATATATCATGATTTATGATAACACGTCTGATCCAAGACAACTACGAGACGGTGTTGAAGGTGGGCGTAGCGTCTGATGCAGTTTAGTTGATGAATGAAAACTCATGTATAACTGCAGTTAAGTTGAGTTGAGTTGATACCCTCTGGTAAACTAGGCAACCGGTTGACTCGGCGCCCTTGTAAGGGTGACGAATTTGAAATTCTGATTTTTGAGGCTAAGAGACAAAATGCTGATATTTGCAGGAGTCGTCAAAAAATGTTTGCAACATGGACATTCATTTCGATTGGCAGGCGTGCGACTCAAGAGTGAAAATGTGCGTTTCGCCTGCGCGGTGGCTCGTTTTGCTCTTCAAGGGTCAAAAAAAACATTAGAATTTATGATTTTCAATCATCCGAATCACATCAGGGCGACATTCACTCTTCCAGCTTTTTCCTTTTCTCGACGCTAGCGGTGCCAGAGCGCTTGTGGCAACGCAGAAGCCACAGTCTGCAACAAGGCAGCGTTGTGACGCCATGTCCAGCTGTAGGCCCAAGTGTACCTTTTTTTGTACACATTTTGTTTTTTTTCTGGAGTATCGACGGAGGTCGCCATTTTATCAAGTGTTTCCATGTTCCATCCATTTGTTGAGTACCAGCAACAATGGTTCTATAGGATCTATCCCACAAACGACCTCGAAAATGATAAGTCTTAGTCTTCGTAAAGATATTTTGTTTGTGGTTGACCCGGGCCAACTTGAACCTTTTGTGGGGATAATCTTTGACACAACTGACAGCATGTGCAACGTTTGCATCTTCCGTAACGTAAAGGAAGTGCTCGTCAGGGACGTTAATACAGCCCCCCCACCCCCCACCCCCACCCCCCCTGATGATCATACGACAGCATGCGCAACGTGTGCATCTTCCGTAACGTAAAGGAAGTGCTCGTCAAGAACGTTAATACACCCCCCCCATCCCCATCCCCCCTGATGATCATACGACAGCATGTGCAACATGTTAAAAACTCAAAAAAATCAAATCCTAAACCCCCATTTCCGCAAGCCTCATTTTTGAAATTTGCAACCCTTCCAAGGGATCGTAAATGGCACATCTCAAAATTGGCAACCCTTCCAAGGGCGCCGTATCAGCCGCATGCCGTAAACTACCCTCTGGTAATTTAACGTAGCTATTGAAAATGGCCATTTATAGTGAGTTTTCCCATTGAAAATGGTGATTTTCCATAGTTATGTTAGTTTACCAGAGGGCATTACATAACGAACTGGAACATCACCATTTCATAGCTGGGAAAACTCACTATTTCGACTGGGCCATGTTCAATTGCTAAACAGATTGTATGTATACGCTTCAACTTATCAGATCTGTGGTCTCTAAATGGAAACAAACACACAAATCATGGCCAATCCAAGAAACCCTGAGAAACCCTGCATGGTTACGTAGTACATAGCATATATCCTCATTTACAGAAAGAAACGTACGAAGCTACTCAATCTAGTTGGTTTCCTCATCATTGTTGGCGATAGCCCTATTTATTCCCATAGTTCTTGGTTAAACGCACATTTTTTCTCAGTTTTCCCCAGCCCAAACTTTCTTAGGCCCAGCATTCGTCCAAGGTAGTGCCACCAATTCATATTTCTTCACTATATAAATCCAATACTATACATACTATACACTATAAATCCACTTATTCATTCTATATATATTATCATAATTCATTGATATTGAACAGTTATCCAATATAGTTCGAATCACTGACTGTATATATAATTATATATATATAATAAGAATATACTTATAGCCAGCTGGCCGATGCCACCGAGACACGTCCATGGGCTCACTCTTCACCGCCAACCTTTCGCCGAAACTCGTGAGGAAATTGGCGCCTCCGTGCCTGGCTACGACACAAATAAGATCCTTGAGCAACTCAGCAACTCCCAAAAGAAAGGAAGGATCCTAAGGATCATGATGGATGAAATATGATAGACTCAACTAGCATCAACTAGTCATAATAGTGAAGCCATGGTTCTTTTCTATTTTTTTGGGGGGGTACTGCAGACGATGGGAGCTTTTGGAGACCGCACATGGCACTTGACACCAGCTCCAAAATCCTGCTGAGAAGTGACTTCCCGGACTCGTTTTCCGTGGGTTTTTTCGAAAAAGCACTGCCTGGAAAAGAACCAAACATATGGTTCAAGTCCATGAAATCCTCGATTTTGACTGGGAATTTAGCATGATTGAGCCCCTTTGCAGGTGGTGACACCTCTCCAACAAGGGCTTCTTAAGCAGTTCTCTTTTTGGTTCCCGGCCTCACAGTCACACAGTTCAGGCCGTTCACCTGTCGGCATTACGAAACCATCCCCCAGTCATCACCATTTTAACAGGTGGTATGTTTACCATTCCCAGTCATGGGTGGTGCCAATGGCATTGTTTTACCCACATGGTCCTCTGGTAAACTCACATAACTATTCATAACTATGGAACATCACCAGTTCCTATACCCTCTGGTAAACAAACAAACATTACGTCTTTCCAATCTTCTGACTTTCAGGCTGGTCCTAGTTTCCTAAATCCCCATGTTTCATGGTGCGCCATCCAATGAATCCAACGTTGTTGCTACGATCTAATGGAGGAACTGAGTTTGTGCGGCCAAGGACTTTCCATAAATGAGGGTACCCAAGTGGCTGGATATGGTTTATTTATGTTTATTTCATGGAAAATACTATATAAAAAGATGTAAAATGTTGGGGTACCGCCATGACTTAGGTCCATAGAAGTGGGGCTATACCATTCATCTAACTGGGTTCAAAATATCTGGAATCATCCTTCTGTGAAAAAACTTTGCCGAGCAAACTGCTGGTGGGGCAGGTGTTTCAAAGGCTGGATCATTGGTTAAACATCTACCCCTGCTTCTTGGACACTTCTATGAAACTGGAAACTATGTATATACATGATGGTATATCGGTATATCAATGGTATATCCATAAAATATCCATAAAAATACATTTAACAAAAATAACGTGCATGATGCTTGGACATTGCCATTGATGAGACTTTCATGATATGTTTCGTGTGAAAAGTCTCCTGTCATCAGCTCATTTTCCATCACTTTCTCCCGCCTTGAGCTTCAAGGTCGACTCAACATGCACGCCCCGGAATTCCTTCAACTTGCTGGTCATGCCCACACCTCGTTGGTCAACTGGGGAGAATCTCGTGGTTTTCATGTTTTTTTTTTCCGGGTAAGACACTTATTTGATGGACGTTTTTTGTGATATGATATCTTTTCCATTTCTGGACAGTGTAGAATGAGAACGTTTTAATACCTCAATAATTATGGCGTATCGGTCATATGGAAATGGAAAGTTGTTTGATTAGAAGTGGCAAACGCGTTGAATCTTAAAAAAAAACACACTCTGAAATATGTATGTGCCATGAAGACAAACATCCTATTTGTGGGGTATTGACATCCCATCATATGCAGAAATTATATTACAATAATATTGTACTACATCATATCATATCATATCATATCATATCATATCATGTTATACTATATTTATATGATATCATGCATCATATCATATCATATCATATCATATCATATCATATCATATCATATCATATCATACAACTATATTCACTATATCATAGTATATCATGGTATATCAAATGATACAGTGGAATTTAGCATCGTTTTCGCACCTTCGGTGCGTTTCGCCAAGTACATTCTCAACGCTTCGAGCAAGGCACGAGAGAGCGCGTAGTCATCACGGCACCCAACGATCTCAACCGTGAAAGTCATATCGTAGTCCTGGAAAATCCATGAAATTCCTGTTTTTTTTCAAAAAAATCCAGCTGGGTATCACTAGCATTTTGGTGAAACATGGTGATTTTGCCATAAAAACAAGGTGAAATAACTGGTTTTACAATGTTTTGCATTGTTTGACCAACAACATGTGTGAAAATTTGGGGCGGTTGAACCATGAAAGCATGCGGTGTAACGGTGGCTCGATGGTGGTTTAATGGTGGTTTTATGGGCTACAGGAAACCACACGTTTCTATGGAAAATATATTGGGAACAAACCAACGATAGTAATAGATGATTCAAACAGATAATATTATATTAATTTATATTATATATATAGATTTTAGGTATATAGATACAGATATAGATATAGATGATATAGATATTTAGATATATAGATACAAATGTAGATATAGCCATCACATGGGGTCAACTGGCCACAGTATTACCCCACAGTCCGGATCAGGTTGCAACAATCGGCAACGTAGATGGCTGCTAGCGTGCACATCCTTTGGTGGAGCTGCGGGACGTCGGAAAAATGAAGGAACGGAACAATGACGATTTAATTTTTATTGGGATTTCATGGGGTTAAGAATGGTAATTCATAGGGATGGAACTGATTAAACAAAAATGGGGATGTAAATGGGAACATATCAGTGAGCATGGCTTCTGCACATTCCTGCAGCATGCTGATGGCTTCACGGGTCATCTTCGAAGGACAGTCAGGTCGTGCTTCTTTGGGTCTTTCTGCAATGACATTGTCAAGGCATTCTTTGACAGTGCGGGTGAAAGAAGACTTTGGAATGAGTAAGTGGGTGGACTCCTGTAGCCGCGCTATATCCCGGACAATCTTCTGCGTCCGCGTCGTGGCAATGCGCTCGTTAGCCGTGGCCTCTGCCTTGCGTTTCACTCCTCGGGCTTTCGACCGAGCTTTCGCAACTGCTTTGGGCCTCGCCTGAAGGGCAGCTGCAGCAGCTTCTGATCTATGCGCATTTTTGCGTTTTCCTGGCGCCGCGGCCCCGCTGCAAGCAACCAAGGCCAAAAACCAGCGTAGCCGGAACAGCTATGCCGGATTCCGGCCACGACAGAGCCCAGCGCGGCCAAAACCCTGTTTTAACTTTCGCATGAGCAGTCAAATCTGCCAACTCCACCTCGTTACCTTGTTTAATCTTGCTCCAAATTGTGCAGATGCCTGCAATACAATACTAAGAATGCCTTAAGAATTTGAGGGGCACTCGGCCTGTTGTAGTGTAAATTTGCCTGTATTAAAAAATAAGAATTTGAGGGACCCTGGACCTCAAGCTTTCGGATTCTTCACCAGCGCTCGGGCTGTATATACCTGCTAGTAGTTTGTTTCAGCAAAAATCCAGTCTTTGGACCTCATTCCATGCAATGGTGGAATGCCATCGTTTTCCCAAGTATCCCGGCAAGAGACCCCAAACAGTGTGGGGGAGTGGGAGGATAATGTATGAACATGTGGAGGATGATGGTGATGGTGATGGTGGTGGTGATGGTGATGGTGATGCTGATGATGATGATGATGATGATGAGGGGGAGGAGGAGGAGGAGGAAGATGATGATACTGAGGAGGAGGAGGAGGAGGAGCAGGAGCAGGAGGAGGAGACTGGTCACAAGACCGCGCCGCACGATTGGTGCAAGCCTGCGCAATCGAAATGCATTTCAAGATTTCACGAAAGACATCAGAAGAGCCACTTTAGACGGAAATTTACAGGAAAAATGCCGCGGCCCAGATTGAGCCCAGAACGCCAACACACACACACACTGCTTGAGAGCCTGCGCAGTCGAAACGCATATCAAGATTTCACAAGAGCCACTCCGGGATACCGCATTTTTACAGCAAATTTTCAATCACCAAAAAATCAAAGCACACTTTGATCACTTTGGGTCACTGCGTGCCCTTGCTATAATCACTGGATAATGCTACAAGAATACAATATGACCCATGACGATGGGAGATGGCTCAAAACATAGCAATGACATCCAACGACCATCAGTTGACTTCAAGCAACCTCTACGTGGAAATTTACAGGAAAGATGCCGCGGCCCAGCTGGATCCCACAAGCGGGACCCGCACTTTGTGGGAGCCTGCGCAATCGAAATGCACATCAACATTTCACAAAAGACATCAGAAGAGCCTCTTTAGACGGAACTTTAGAGGTTAAATTCCACAGACCAAAATGAGCCCAGAACGTGGACGAAGACTTAGTGACTTATAGTGCAAGCCTGCGCAGTCGAAACGCATGTCAAGATTTCACAAGAGTCACAAGAGCCACTTCATACGGAAATTTAGAGGTAAAATGCCGCAGGCCAGCGTGAGCACCCTGATTAAGCACCGGCCTTTACACTTACCGTAAGAACCCCTCAGTGTGGACACATTGTGTGGGGGAATGAAAAGATCTTTTTCCATCCCCCATGGACCCCGCTACTCTTAGCGCCCAGCTGGTGACCAGTGCATTGCATGTTGTGGGATACTGACACAGTCCATCCCTGGAATGGATCGATGATCTTTGCATCTGCCAGTTGTGCTGAAATCTAAGTGGAGAATCATCCATTACTTTATTGCTGGGGTTATCCTATTTGAACATGGTTTGTCTTCAGTTGAAACGCTAAAAACCAGTCAATCGCTATGTGTTTGGTGTTATCATGAACCATAAATGAGGTAATTTGCTGACTTACTGGTAAAGGGCTATAACTGTTGGGGATAGAGATATGAAACATCTTGAGCTGATTTGTCCAATTTCGCATGGCAAACAACAACCCATTGAGCAATCGATGGTTTTTCCCATGGTTCGCCCAGAGTCTGATCGTCCTGCTACGGTATACGGCCCACCTCACAAGAAACATTACCCAGTTTTTCGTTTGCTTAACTTGGAAAATAAACTGTAGTTTTGAAAGTTTCCAGTCTAGTAAGGTTCTATAAATTAGTGTTTTGTTATTTTGTTCTGAAACAAATCTGATTTACCCTCTGGTAATTTGTTACATAGCTATTGAAAATGGCCCTAGAAAGTTTGTTGATTTACCCAGCTATAAAATGGTCATTTTCTATAGCGAACTCTTAGTTTACCAGAGGGTCACTTGAAAAATTGGCTTACACAAAAACAATACGTTCTAACCATTCATGTTGGCTGTTTATCATGTTATCTTTCAGTTTCGGCCCAGCATTTCTATACAATTTCAAAAACATCCAGAATCCCATCACGCCCCATTGTACATTATATATAAACATAAATCCTCATAAATCCCGCTATGTCTCAGTATATCCCACTATTCAATATCCAAGTATATCCCAATAAACCTTCTATTGGTTTTACAGTACAAACGCGTATCATGTTTTATCCCATGAAATAGCGGTACCATAATTTACCTATCATATCCCCAATCAACATACCATCCCTTTCATCCACATTGTTGGTAAATGGGATGATTAGAAAATTCTGGGAATGCCCCTATATCCAAGTGCAAAGGCAAGTCGTTAAGAAATATCATCCCAGGTGCGCATCCCGTTTGTAACGATTGCCTAGGGCCCAGTCATCCAGCTGGTTTGTTTCATTTCTATATATATATATAATAGTTATTGCACGCCCACCACGTTGTATAATTGGGTAACAACTATATCTGCAAGAATATATATTACATATTATATCCACACTGTTAAATCTCGCAACAATATTGTCAACTGCTATAATTACATCATGTTGATTTTTGCAAAATATATATAACTCTTGGGCATCATGTGGAATATAATCATGTAAACACCTTACTGTCAGCATATGTGCTAGGGTCTTAACATGGTACATGGTTTATCGGGCAAAACTGCACCTTTTATCTAACATATACCAATGGGTTTCCACGGTTTTCCAGTGGTTCACATATCTATCATATACCTCTTATATAAATCTGATTGTTGGTTATCATTAGTGGCGTATATGCCGTTTTTTTGCATCCCATCAAATTTCCGCATTTATAAATCCCCAAAAAGATTGTCAAGGCTGTCAACAAAATTGCCATATACCTGTTTTATAGCAATAAAACATGATTATAAAGCCATTAACTACCTATAGTTATATCCCCTAAACCCAAACCTTAAGCAAGTGAACTGTGCATCAACTTTGCGCGTAAAAGGGTGCCTCCCCCTTGGACCTGCGATAGAACTGCCAAGTTATACCTGATTGTTGGGTCTCATTAGTTTCTTATACTATATATATATGCCAAATTATATGCCTTATATTCCAGCAACTATCCCCATATATATATATACATATATATATATATCCCCATTATATCAGATTATCATAGATTATCCCTATATATCCTCATGGCTGTCAAAAAAATGCCAAGGTTCCAGGTACTTATGCGTGAACTGCGACTTCAGGCGGATCCGATCTCCAGCCTTTACCACGCCGGCTCCGGCCTGACGAAAGGGAAACCAGGAAGGAACGGCCGGTTGAACAATGCGGGTTTCATTGGGATTTAACAAAAACAAATGCTGGTTGAAGCAACAGAAATTGGGATTTCGTATGGACGGAAATTTTGATCAACAGAAATGCCGAGGTGGAATTCAACCTCGAAATCACCAGCCAAAACCGACGATGTTGGGCTGCTCACGGGGTCCAGAGACTGGTGTGTACTCCGGCAGGGCTGGAGTGGATGCACGCCAATACTCAGCTGACAAACATATGACGTAGTTGTTGATTTTGCAGCCAATGCAGCGCTTTTCGTAGTAGGGGCCACCCCCAGTGATAAAAGTTTCTTAAAATGGGGGAACCCTAGAAAATATATACCAAAATGATACAGAAAGATATCCCAAAAAGGTGGAAAAGTAAAATCCCACCGACATTTTGATAAACTACATTCCTATACATTCCTATCTATGACAAATGAACGCACTTCTCACACTCAAAGAGGCATCTAACCAAACTAGAACATAATTCCTTTGGTAGAAATAGGCATCTTCTTACTATTAATCTTCCTAAGCATCATTTCTGGTGATGGTCGTTGTGAGGTCACTATATCCTATAATTTGCACAGAATCAAATCCCAGTGTATTGGCATTGGCAATATCCTGTTCTATCCAATTATATTCCATGGTATCCCCATGGTATCCCCAAAATATGAATGTTATCCCCACATCCCTCCAATCTCTGCCGCTTTAAGCGGCTACTGGCTACCCCAAATAAAGGGACCCACAGGACGAACGACGTGAGGCGCCTCACGTTCGATGATGAAGAGTTGACAACTCATCAACTCAGCGCTCTGCGCAAAGACATTCTGATCATCGACCTGCAAAACTCGACCCTTCGGAGCTGCGAACAAAAGAAAATAGAGGACAGTCACATGATAGATGTGGTTGTCAGCAACTTATATTCATTTACATCCGATAATCATCTAAAATGGGGGGGGGTTCCCCAAGAAACACGTCCTTCAATTTTAAAATGATCTATAATAATTTTGGAGGATAGCTGGGGGTACCCCTATTTTAGGAATCCCCCCCTATCCTCTCAATAAGTTGGGGCCAGCCTTGCCAAGAACCCTCGCGACCTCATGAAAACTGGTAATTCCAAGGGTCGATATGGGTCAATCATAAGTTTCACATTTTTCCACCCAACTAACATGACGACCCTGCCAAATTTGAGGTTGGATAATCATGTTTAGTTTGATGATTTAGCCACTAAACATAGTGATTTTATCTTCGTTTATCCAGGGTTTATCCCATGTTCAGCTTACCCTCTGGTTATTTCACAGTTTGCGAAGTGGAAAATCACGATTTTTTTATGGGTAAATCATCTGTAAATCATCCATAAATGGATCCTTTTCCGCGAAACAACCAAGGTTTTCACCATCGAACAATGGGGGCTTCAAAGCCTAGCCTCCAGGTTCACGTCCTGCGAGCGCAAAAAAAACACATCGTTGTGCCTGACATCGAGCCAAGGAGCTTCAACGTGGATGGTTTACAATTCAGAAAACCATATGACAATAGGGATTTTCAATGGTTTTCCATATGTATTTTCTATAGTATTACAGTGATGATTTGGGAGTAGCCCTATCCTTCATGTTGTTTGATATGAAGAATAATGCGGATTTATATTATGGATTTATCATGCACATCGTTTGATAGGGATTTCATCCCCCTCATTTGTGAAAGGTGACAAATGAGCCACATGAAAGCGGGTGAAAAAGTCCGCCGTTATAAAAGTTATTATTGGTAAATAGGCCCAGCACTCAAGCCTTTGCTATTTGGGTATACGGTATCACCTTTGAGGGTGTTTGTTGAATCCCCATGAAAGAAGCATTCATGGGAAGCAAATTGGACACACATATGGTTTGATATGGTTTAGTATGGTTTAATCTTCTAAAGCAGTCCTTAAGGGATTCTGTAAGTGTCGAAGAACGATTTTACTATCCGTGATAAACTCTCCATATATATATATAACAATTATATAACTATATATATATATACATCTAGATGGATGGATGGATGGATGGATGGATGGATAGACAAATAGATTCCTTTTCTTGTTGATGCTGAAACACCCTACTATTGTCGGTTTATTTTGGTTTGGCCATCATTTCCATGTGGAAATCAAATGAAATAAGCTCCCAGGTACCAATGTAAACCAAAAAACACAGATTCACTAGACTAACCATATCTTGGTTATCCTTATGTTGTTATATATATATGTATTTGCAGCTCCCCACAAGGACCCACAATTCTTTAATTTATTGAATGTTATATATATAATAATAATAATATTATCATTATATATTTTAAAAATACATAATTAATGTTTATATATATATATAAAGAGAGAGGGAGAAAGAAAGAGAGAGAGAGAGAGAGGAAAAAAAACAACAATATCATTATTTCAACCATATCTCAACGGCTCCTGACCCCGTCCACAGTGACCCCGCTTCCCTCGGCAGCCCCGCCGAATGGAGCGGCTGCGCAACATCGACGTAAGGAACTGCGCCACCAGCGCCGTCTCCATCAGCGGCACCGCGCAGCTCCTGGATACGTGGGAACCACGGAAATTCCATGGGGAACTTCCATAGAAAACATGGATTGGTTGGAAAATCTCCAGAAAACCTGAGAAAAACACCTGGAAACCTATAGAAATGCTTTGGAAAGCTGTCAATAGAAACCCCTATATTGCATTGAAAAAAAATGGATTGCTTGGATTTGAAATGCAAACCATGTTTTTGTCCATGAGATTGATTGGAGTGACCTTTTTCATTGTTACCTTAAAACAATCCGATTAAAAAAAAAACAAATGCAACTTCCTCGAAAGCTATTGAAGAATGATCTGGATTCATAGCTGTTCTGTTGTTCACTCTTCCATCTGCTTTCTTGGAGTGGTTCATGAAAGAACAGCTATGAACAGCTATGTACCTACTTCTTGAAAGATGATTCATAGTGGATTCACTGTTGTTTTGTTGAAGTGGAACACAAGCGATTTTTCTGGAGCCAAGTCTCTCGTGCAGGATCTGTTCTGCCTTCTTCATGGTCTCGCGAAACCTGCTGATTTCACCAACACACTTTGGGATTTCATCGGATTTTTGGCGGATTTATAGTATACATAGATGTGTAATGTCAAGCCAGGATTAGTCAACATCCCGTTTTTAATCAACCTCCTCCTCCCTCCCCAAAAAAAAGTAAATTAAAAATAGGTGGTCCCCCTGGATTAATAAACTTTTTGGCCGGGAATGATTAATCAACCCCCTGTGCTGAAATCCAATTTGTTTATCCAAAATTCTTTATAAATGTCATCAGTTTGGATCCCATGTCCCCCAAAATGAGCCAACATGGCTGCAGACGATCATCACATGCACGCATGCACAGATGCGAACTGTGAGATTTCAGCAATCAAATGCCATCACTGTCATCCCATGCTGCAATGTGAGATTTTAGCAATCAAATCTCTTTCTGGCACAAAGCTGAGAATGAGCCAAACTGATCAATGTGGGATCTGATGGGTTCCATGAGGTTTTAAATATCAAATCTATACAAATCTCATCATATCCAAAATGTTATGGTTCAGAGGTGCTTATTATTAAGGGGTGAAACAGGAAAGACCTGACAAGGTCCATCTGACGTTCTGGGGGGGGGGCGTTTATTAATCCGGTGTTGGCATTACAACAATTCATGCCATTTTTGTAGATCATGTTCCGAACGGGAAACCATGGTCTTCCACATTTATGTTAGGATGTTAGGTTACCTTAAGACAACTCCCAAAAAGACAGTGGCAAGTTGAATCTAAGCTGAAGTGATAAATTGCTGATCTACTTGGGGGTTACAATAGATAGTGTCTATATGTATCTATATGTATCTATATGTATCTTTGTTCAGTGTCTGCTTATAAACTTCTGGGGGACACCTGGACACAACCACCGTTTTTGGGGTGAAGATTCATGGAGGCTCCAGTGACAAATTCCCGAGATTTTCACGGCCAGCTCATTCTTGTTAAAAGGCCCCAGTAAATCAGCTAATGTGGTTAAACCCAATAGTAAACATGTGGTGATGACTTTCACAACCTAATTATTTGTATTAATGTGGTTCAAACAATAGTAAACCATCCCCCAAATCACCAATAAATAGGTGGTATGTGTACCATTCCCAAATGGGTAGTCTGTCACATTGTCTTGACCACATTACCCTTCATCATTCAACAGTTGTTCCAACTCTTTACGGCCCAAGGAACATCTGGATGGTGTTCAATTTCTTGGACTTGCCCGACAAACATAGCCGCAGCTCAGCATAGTGCAGCGACGAATAGGAATCCTGGCGCGACTGTGCAGAAAGGTGGCATGAAGAAAGCATGTTTTATCGATTTCCATGCTTCAACATTGGCAAAAAAAGTCAATTTCTTCGCAAAAAAATGTAAAACATGGTAAAACATCATTTTTCACACTTGATTGGGGGGTCTAGGCTTTGATGTTTGGTGCTTATTCTAACCTCCATGGGACTCCATGTGTTTCCATCGTTGTGCCGCCGTGCCTTCAACTGCAGCTGGAATTTCAAGGCGATGTAGTACTCCCCCAGCGCCGTGGGAATTCTGAAGTGGTTCCGCACCTGCCGGAACAGGTGTACCGGCCATCCTGATGAGTGCACCTGGATATGGATCTAGAATGATCTATATCTATATATATATATATTTATATATATATACCCTCTGGTTATTTAACATAGCCATGGAAAATTGTCTATTTATAGATGATTTTCCCAGCTAGAAACCTCCATTGATGGTTGGGATTTTCCATGGCGAACTGTCCAGGGCACGGACACTGGAAATCCTGGGAGAAGCGCCAAGAGAACCCAAAAAGGTCAACGGAATGGATGTTCATAGATATTGTCTGGTTGGTGGTTGACCTATCCCTCTGAAAAATGATGGAGTTCGTCAGTTGGGCTGGGATAATGAAAGTCCTATCTGGAAAAATAAAACATGTTCCAAACCACCAACCAGTTATATAAGCTCCAGCCAACATGTCAAGTCGTCACCTTTCAACACAGAGGCCGACTCCAGGGCCCAGTTTTGGAGCCATCAAAAATTGTTTCAATCCCTGATAGGACGGAGTTATATTGTCAGAAATTACTCAGTGGTGTACTAATGGCCACTTGATAACAACTAATGGCCACTGTTGTTATGAATTTCATTCCTGATGTTTCGTGGTTGACATACCTTTGTGATAGAATTAGAAGTTCTAGTGACCCGCAACGATGTTGATTGTAAATATTTGGAGAACACCGTTTTGAGGATGGTTCATCCGGTTGACCATCACTGAATAAGTGAGGTCGTTCTGTTCTACCAAGATATATCATCAAACATCATAAAAACCATGTGTTTTTTTTTTAAAAAAAACAACAACATAATGATAAACATCTGTAAACAAAAAATATCCCTGAAGAAACACATGGGTAGTGTCTGTATCATGTATGTATCATGATAATATTATCTATAAAATATATATATATATAACATTGTATATACATACATATATATACATACATACATACATACATACATTACATTACATTACATTAGATTAGATTACATTGCATTGCATTTCCATTGCATTGCATTGCATTACATTACATTACATACATTACATTACATACATATATATCTATATATTATTGCGGCAACAAATCAATCCACCACAGTGTCACCACCTTTCCCCAGGCCCGGTGCTCCACAGGCCACCTGCCAGAGGAAGAGCCGCTGCGCGCGTTTCAAGAGCTCCTCGAGGGCTTCCCACAGGCCACCTGGGCGTGTCGGCCGATGTTGGTGGAATCACGTGTCAAACAGTTGACATTCATGTATAATATATATATATATGTATGAATGTATGAATGAATGAATGCATGAATGTATGAATGAATGAATGTATGAATCTATGTATGTATGTATGTATGTATGAATGTATGAATGTATGAATCTATGTATGTATGTATGTATGTATATATATATATATATCATGATAGTAATGGTAGTATACCAACTTTAAGTAATATCTAGAATCATTGTGCAGCCATTTTTTAAGGGAGTTTCTCCGTGGAGAAAGTCATGGATTATTGATGGTCATTTTGCTGGATATTACTGTACTGGTTGCAGCCATGTTTTCCCCATGTCGACGGTCAATCATTTCAAATGAGAGGATAAGGATTTCAGTTAACCATCATTAACCACTATTAACCATCATTCACCAATGATTAACCATTCATTTGGATAGGGATGTCGCCGGTTTGAAACCGATGACATTCCTTTATGATTGCGGCCACATTTGGGTAAAAATCCCCGAGATTTTGGCAATGGCTCTACCTTGGCTCTATCTTGTTTGGGAATTCTCCCCGTAGATTCCCCAGTTCTGGGGAATTTACCAAAAAGCAGTTCCAGGTCTTTGGGAAACGTCGGAAACGTCCAAACTTTCCAGTGATTTCTGAATCATGTCTGATTCAGGCGATCAAATACACCTCAATTATGTGTAGTGACCACCAAAACTATTGTTGGGTTGCTACACTTGGGCAGTTGAGGTTGCACATGAGTGACATGAGTGTATAACTGGTGAAACGAACCCCCATAAGTTGGTATATGGGGCCCCTATGACTATGGCGACATATATTTTTACACAGTTATAGCATGTTATGACATATTATAATCTATCCATAATTATATAAATATATATATATGTTGTAATTAATCTATAAACGGTTATAATATGTTATAACTGGAACTGCACTTCCTTAAGTATACTATTGATATCATAATCTCCAAGTGCCTTTGGTTTTTTCGACGTGCCGTGCCAACGTGCCAAGCCACGTGCGTTGGGGAACTCCAAGTAGACCAAGGACCTCGTTTAGCCCCACTACATCAGTGGGATGGACTTGCAAGAACCCAAGAACCATGATGTGATGAAATGAGAATTGGTGTATAAACATGTATAAACCACTAGAACCCCCATGAATACTATAGTTATATCATGTTATATCTACCAACATATAAACATCCATAAACATCCATAAACCATGTTTAAATATATTTAAGCCATTTAGAGACATGTTTTGTTGAATTTGTGTTTCAGATGTACATCATGTGTACAGGCATACGGCATACTGTGATCATGTTTGCTAAGCTTTGTTGTAGGTTTTAATGGGAATTAATCCCTTCCTCCTAATACTAAACGTCCCCCTAATACTAAAAACAGGCATCCATCTCCAATTTCCGAAAATTTCAGTTTGGCCAATTTGACTTTTAATTGATCCCCTTTAAAAAACAATTCAAAAATCAACCTACCATTTGTGGGTTCTCCCCCCTAATACTAAAAACTATTCATCCCGGGGTGTTTAGTATTAGGGGGGCCTAGTTTAGTAGCAATTAGGGGTAAGCTTCGAACTGCCATTTTTGGCAATATTTTAATTGCGTTATATAAGGAAATTTAATTGATTTTGAGATCGGAAAAAATAGTTTTTAGTATTAAGGGTTTTAATTTAGTATTAGGGGTAAGCTTCGAACTGCCATTTTTGGCAATATTTTAATTGCGTTATATAAGGAAATTTAATTGATTTTGAGATCGGAAAAAATAGTTTTTAGTATTAAGGGTTTTAATTTAGTATTAGGGGTAAGCTTCGAACTGCCATTTTTGGCAATATTTTAATTGCGTTATATAAGGAAATTTAATTGATTTTGAGATCGGAAAAAATAGTTTTTAGCATTAAGGGTTTTAATTTAGTATTAGGGGTAAGCTTCGAACTGCCATTTTTGGCAATATTTTAATTGCGTTATATAAGGAAATTTAATTGATTTTGAGATCGGAAAAAATAGTTTTTAGTATTAAGGGTTTTAATTTAGTATTAGGGGTAAGCTTCGAACTGCCATTTTTGGCAATATTTTAATTGCGTTATATAAGGAAATTTAATTAATTAATTAATTAACATGACTTCGATTTGGTTCCCTAATAATAAATACCCCCCTAATACTAAAAACTACCTGCCGTGTTTTGTATTAGGGGGGGGGGTTTAGTATTAGGAGGAAGGGATTAGTAGAGACATGACAATTTGGGATATTTTGAGTAACTTGGCATCTTAACATGTCGAGAGGTTTCACAATTTCAATTCCACAGCAGAGTTGTTCTTGGCATTTATGGGCTCTTTGCCGTAACTGTCTCTGCAGTGCGGATTGGATAGAGTGCAGGCTCTAGCTGCCTAACTCAGTAACATTGGAACCATTTCATAGTGGCCGTCCAACTGGTTGTACCGTTTCGAAAAATGTTGGTCATCTCAAGCCACTGTCGACCAAAGGATGCGGCTTGTACTCCACCAGTTCCAAGGGCCCAAAAGATTGGGGTACTTCTATTTGAGGCAAAACATCCAGTAACGCTTGCATATCCAACCAAGTCATGGTTACATCATATTCTTCATATGTTCCCATATTTTCTGGTGTTTTCCGATCTTACTTCCCATGAAAATCGTCATGTTTGATGGCGATTTCACAGCCACCAGCCATGTTTGAAGCCCAGGAACATGTTGGTGCGTCGATCGTGGCGGCCGAAGTACTTGTACTTGTCCAGGTCGCTCAGGAGCGACGTGCTCATGACACCTGCAGAACATAAGATAACCCCAAGTTATTCCACACATTTGTCACATCAAGCCACTAGATATATCTAGATATTATCTAGATATCACTATAGATGTTGATTAAGACACAAAGTATCACAAACAGAAATTCAATGCTGCCATGATAAACGACTAGATCTGAATAGATGAACATTTCCCTTAGATTTCTCGATTTTGGGGTAGCATTTCTTGGGGCACCACCGATCCCTGCCATTCCCTGCCTGCATCGATGGCTTGCGCCTGACGTTTCCGAAGTCATGGGGGTACCCGGGTTCTTTTCATCCAAGTCATGGATTGCTCTGGGTTACTATTGAAACCCATGGTGACTTGAGGATCCAGCATTTTTTTAGATCCCTATATCTACCATGAAGCCTGGAAGATGTCAACCGAAACCAGGGATTTACCCAGTGGTGAGTTACATAAGCGCGCCGCGTGGCTGATCCTTTTACAAACATATGCCAATAACCGAAGATTGTGGTCCGGAGATTGTTTTAAACAAATCAGAAATTCCACATGTTGCAATGTCTCTGACTATGAACATCTTTGAACCCCCAAACAGCTCAATCCCAGAAAAAAACACTTCGACTGGTATTGGCCCCCTCATCCTGGTCGCGCACCCAGAAAAATCCCAATGATGTGAAGTTTGTTCCCAGAAAAATCACCTGGAAAATCCCTCGAAATCTGCATGGAATTTCCCAGGAAATCCCCAGACATCCCAGAAAGCGTACCTGATTGTCCTGCAAAAAATCTGCCAGACCCGTCTGCAGCACACTGGGTGGCGTTTCAGGGGTGAGCTCCTGGTTACACCACCTGCAGGGTGAACTTTGGCTGGGGATGGGGATTTGCCCTCAGGTTATGGAAAAAAATATGAAAAATCACCACTTTTCATAGGTAAATCGTGGTATTTTTTCATGAATCATCTAAAGATATGGCCCTTGTTTATCCATTTTCCATAGCTATGTTTAAAAAACCAGCGTTTAATGATATTTATAGGGATTCATATGCAGATTAGTAGGATTTTCGATTCATATGATATCGATGTGAGATATCCGTGCGGTCATGAGGATTCAACCAACCAAAAATGGGACTATAAAACCACCAACCAAAAATTGCTATTCATGGGATATGACAAAGAAATTCTGGATTTAAACAACCAAAAGTGGGAATTTAGCGAACATTTTTTTTGCGGATCCAAGGAACCAAAACAGCAGAGGAAGTCGCACTCATAGAAGGGTGAGTGCCCAAACGTTGGTTTTGTTGTTTCATACATCCCATTACGTATAGATATGTATAGATTATACATCTACATACATCTACATACATCTACCATAAATCTAATCGATAACCTACTTATAAAATCTCATAAACCAGCTTAATTAGCTAAGATCAATCGATCTATAAATCGATCTAAAAATCCGGGTTCAATCATGTCAAATGTTCCTTTTTGTATATAAATCACCACTTACCGGGGCCCAGAAGGGGGCACCTGGAGACTTCCGGATGCTCGCGCGAGGCGCTGTCACAGAGCATGGTCTTCAAGATCGTATGCCTCGGAGAATCGTCCCGGTGGGTTTTCCATCGATGGAGAAACCGATTTTGTGATAGTTTATTCATGAACTAATGGCGATAATTATTATTTTGTGATTGAAAAATTGTTTTTCCAATATAATTTAACTATTTATATAACTATGACAATGGTATTTGGTATAGGATTATTAAAAGGATCCGGTGATCCTATTATCCTAGAATAGGATCATTATAATTTCGATTCTATTAATGGTGATTTGATGTGATTTGTCCATGACGATATACCTATCCAGAATATGATATAATCAAATATAGTAATATATAATCATCCTATTTGTAATGGTGATGTTTCACTTCGCCACCTTAAATAACCAGCGCTAGTTCCGCTAGTTCTTTTTAGCACAGGAAAAAATTACTCTTGGCCAAAAAAGGTGGGCTTTCGGAGTGCCAGCCGTTTCTTTCCTTTCTTCTTGGAGTTGCTAGAGGCGGGACGGGGGTCACATTCGCCCCTACCTCAGAGTCACATTCGCCCCTACCTCAATATGTTATTCAACCTTTTAGGGTTTGTACAATCTGGGGACAAGGAACATTTAGGGGGGAACTTGGGGACATTTGTTGGGGGGGGACCGGGGTCACTTACCTTTCTACCTAATAAGTCATTCAACCTTTGAGGGTTTAATCTGGGGACAAAGGGCATTAGTGGACATTTAGGGGGACTTGGGGACAGGGGTTTAGGGGCCCTGGGCACAGTCCCAAGAAAAAACACCCACGAGTCCAACGGAAGTTACAACGTAGCATCCAGCGCGTCTTGGAAGTTGCGCTGCAAAGGATGTTATAGCACCCAGAGAGTTTTAGAAGTCACATGAAACGGATGTTGCAACGCAGCATCCAGACCGTCTTGGAAGTTAGTGCACATGGACGTAACAACGTAGCAGCCAGAGCGTCTTGGAAGATGCTTGACACGGATGTTACAAAATAGCATCCAAAGCGTCTTGGAAGTTGCTTGAAATGGTTGTTGCAACGTAGCATGCAGACAGTCTTGGAAGATGCTCGAACCCCGGATGTTGCAACGTAGCATCGAGAGCGCCTTGGAAGTTGCTTGAAATGGATGTCTCAACATAGCAGCCAGAGCGTCTTGGAAGATGCTTGAACCTGATGTTGCAACATAGCATTCAAAGCGTCTTGGAAGTTGCTTGAAATGGTTTGTTGCAACCTAGCATGCGGAACGTCTTGGAACTTGCTTGAAATGGATGTTACAAAGTAAAATCCAGAGCGTCTTGATTGGAACTGACTTTCCATGACAGTTGCGATTTGTCCGTAGGAAAATGATCCTTTCCCACCTCTAAACCTATTGCGCCTGCCACACAAAGCGAGGTCGAGTCACATTCGCCCCTACCCTAGGGTCAGCTGCGCCCCTACCTCCACCTTCAGTAGGGGCAAGTGCGACCCCACATGAGGTAGGGGCAAATGCGACCCCCATGGCTGCTAGAGGCCCTGCAGGGATTTCTTGGAGGATGGGAGACACCTACGGGATGAAAACAGGAAGGCACTAAGGGTGGCCATTCCAGTCAAGGTGGCTTTGCAGGATACCAAAAACTAATTTATCTTAATACTCACCACTATTAGTTATCCACTATTTAACATTGTATGACTACACCTAAGTACAATCTGGTAGATAGGTTCGCCAAGTAAAAAAATGTGAAACAAAATATGCAAGGCCAACAGAACAGAAATCAAAGAGGTCACCTAAATCTTAGACATTCTCGATTGACCTGCCCAGTGATTCTTAGTCTTCCACTCAGCCGAGTTTTTCCGATCAGGGATTTTGTGATTATGATCAGCCCCACCTACCTACTTCAGCTAAACAATTCCTGACCCAACAAGCCCTGAAACTAGGCGTCTAGTGATTGGGCATCCCAGGGACGGAACACATAGAGTGATCGAGACTTCCCCCGTCGATATTCCACATATTCCCAGCACGGAAATCGATCCGTAGATTCTCATTGTACCCCAACCTCCAAAGGTACAATTCCCATCAACTCCGAACCAATTCCCTGTACCATATAAGGCCATATTTTCATATATTTTCTAGGGATATTCCCTTACATAGGCCTTATATAGGCCTTATATATGGTTCCAATCAATCGGTTCCTGAAATGACCATTGATGAATGTGTGTTTTTTTCGGTGCATCATGGTGCATCAACCCCAGCCTTCGAGGACACCCTCAGCACGTGCACTTCCCCATTTTGGGCTTTACGCCGAGAGACGCATCCTTCGCTTGCAGATGAAGGCGATCAAAATCTCGATGCGGCTGGCGAACATGCTGATGCTTTTTGCCAATCCTCGGCGGGCTGGACTGGATCTCGGATCATCCCACGAATCAGATCAAATCAGTGGATGTAAGTGGGTTAGCCATATAATAATAAATAATAGCCATATATTATTAATAAAGTGGAGATACAGTAGATGGAGAAATTACTCAAACCCCGCATCCATGAGTTGTAGGCTACCCCCTGTCCCCAAAAAATTCAACGTTATGGTTCCGTATCTTTGTTCCTGATCTTAGGGTTTGATTTATTTCGTCCATTCAAAGGACCGAACCAAACCAAAAAAACGACATTGTAATTGGGGGTGCGGGGTTTTATTGGATTACAAGGGTTTGAATAATTCGTCCATCTACGGTACGGGGGGCGGTGGCCAGCAGGAGCGCAGAGAATGTGAAGGGTAACTGTTCCTACTTTGTTTTTTCTGTTCTGTGATATGTTGTCTTTACGTGCGCTTTGCTGGTTCAGTTCCGGCCTTCTTCCATTTCCTTTCCTTAGGCATGATTGCAACTGCTGTGCTTTTCCAACTCCCTTCCTTAGGCATGATTGCAATGGCTGTGTTTTTCCAATTCCCTTTCTTGGGCATGCTTGAATTTGCTGTGTTTTTCCAATTCCCTTTCCCTTTCCCAGTTCCCTTCCAGTTCCCTTCCCAGTTCCTTTCCCAGTTCCCTGCAACGCACTTTCCTTAAAAAAAACATAGGGAATCCGCGAAGGGAACTGGGAAGGGAACTGGAAGGGAACTGGGAAAGGGAAAGTGAACTGGAAAAACACAACATGTTCAATCAGCCTCGGGAAAGGGAATAGGAAAAACACAGCATTTTCAATCACGCCCAAGAAAGGGAACTGGAAAAGCACAGCATGTGGGAGGACCTTTGCGACACGGCCAGCTGAAGTGGGTTTTATCATCCACTATTATGGCGGTATCATGTGATGACTTATTTTTTGAAAAACGACAGGTGTCTTGTCATTGCAAAGAAATGTAAGAAATAAAGCTATTGAGGACACATGGTGGGTCTCATCATCCACTTTTGTGGCGTTGTGACTGGCTTTGCTTTTCAATCATGGGGTGACTTCTTTGCTTAAAGACAACAGGTGGTGACAGGTTGTGTATTGTCAATGCATAGTGTGGAAGGAATGAATACCCAGAAAAATGCAAAACCATGATAAGAAAGTAAGCGCGTGAGACAGTAGAATTAGTTGTTCAAACCCCGCATCCATGAGTTGTAGGCTACCCCCTGTCCCCAAAAAAATTCAACGTTATGGTTCCGTATCTTTGTTCCTGATCTTAGGGTTTGATTTATTTCGTCCATTCAAAGGACCGAACCAAACCAAAAAACGACATTGTAATTGGGGGTGCGGGGTTTTATTGGATTACAAGGGTTTGAATAATCGTCCATCTACGGTATCCTAGCTAAGTGGATACCCTGGTTATTCACCACTAGCCAGACCCCCAAGTATGGCAAAGCTATGGCTATGAAAAGTGGATCTGTGGCTGGTCGGCCGGTGAGATAACCAACAAATACCAAAAGTAACATCGCAGATCGTCAAGTTCATACAAATGCGCACCTGATTTACCCATAAAACATGGGTTCAACCCAAAAAATGCATAGAAATGCTAGCACTTCACTATATCAGACTATATCACTTCACTATATCAGACTATATCAGACTATACCATACATTTCTTATGGTTTAACATGGTTTACACATAAAAAAAGACTCTCACGGACAGTTCCAGGATGTTCCAGGTCTATCGGCGGGGTTGCCCCCGGTGTTCCATGGTGCCCATCTCAGGCCAAGCAGCTTCTCCATCTCCTGGATCAGTCTGTTGGGAAGTAGAAAACCAACCATGTTTTTTTGCCATGAAAATGGTGATTTAATGGGACTTGATGGTGATTTAATCTGATTTAAATGAACTATACCCTCTGGTAAACGTCTACATAACTCTGGAAAATCACATTGTTCTTTATTTTCATGGGTAAATCAACTAATTATAAATGACCATGTTCAATAGCTATGTTAGTTTACCAGAGGGTATTTCTATGGCCATGTTCAACAGCTATAGTTATTGTAGTTATAGAAATGATATTAAATGATATTAATTTATGCTAAATTACCAGAGGCTACTCATGTTTGGTCACAACTTGAGGGATTGCGCTGCTTGATTTGGTATCTCTCTAAGACTCTACGTCAAGGTATGACATGGTATGACATCAGCATTGCTAGCATAACAGCATTTTGACTAGGGAATAATCCGAAACAAATATGCCCAAATAATCATACATGTCTAGTTTGAATCCACACAAAATCTTGAATGATTTATCCAAGTGAACACCGCACCCATTGCCATTGAATACGGGACAATGCCCCGGTAGCACCTGAAGATCTTTTAGCTGCTGATCCACACAGATCTTGTCCTAGGAACATTCGATCAGTCGATGGCCGTGGCAATGTCAGGTTGAGACATTCCACGATAGTCTGCCCTTTGGTAATTTAATATAGCTATCGAAAATGGTTATGTATAGTTGATTTACCTATTAACGATGGTGATTTTCCATAGCTATGTTAGCTTACTAGAGGGTAATGTGGTAATTCCATGTAAACCCAAAAAGAAACCATCCCCACTATCACTATCAATAGGTTGTTGTTTTAATCATGTCCAAATGGTAGTTGTTTATGGCATTGGGTTTACCACATTATACAACATGGAATAAGTTAACACCGTGTATACGGATAAAATATTTATCCTACAGACTTATATCAACATTTGGAATACATTTAGCAAGTAGCAAGTAGCAAGTGGGTAATGTCAGGTTTAGACCTTCTTCCCTCTTCATTCTGTTGAGAAATGGTGATTCCTGTGCAGGTCGAGAATGCGTTTTTTTTGTTCCCTGCCAAGGTTACAGTCTACGACTGACGACCTTGGCAAATCACCAAGGTTCGACCGTAACAGAAAGATCTCTCAAACCGGTGACAGATTATCCTACAAACTTATCAACGTAACATTTACATGACTGTCAACTAGCAAAGTGACAGAATGCGCTGTGGTTTACTTATCTTTGTGGCTTGAATTCTTACGGAAAACAATGGGGCTCAAGAACTTTGGTTTCAAGCTATGGCACCGATCTATGACTATCACCAAGGAGGTTTTTTTTATGTTTTTTTCTGGGTAAAGTTGGGGATTTTAACGCATGGAAAATGATGGGAAACGGAGCTTCTTCCGAGCTTCTAGTCAAAACTAGTCGCTAGATACAGAGAATTTAAGTGTCAAGGCGAGGTTCACCTCACTGTGTGTTCACTTGGCAGATTCACCTGTTTCATAGCATGAAAATCCATGACTGGTTGGTGGTCGAGCCCTACCCCTCTGAAAAATCATGGAGTTCGTCAGTTGGGATGATGACATTCCATTCCCAACTGAATGGAAAGTCATCAAATTCCATGGTTCCAAACCACCAACCAGACATGTTATAATCGTATTCATCACCATTTTCTAGCTGGGTAAATCAACTATTTCTATGGCCATTTTCTATATACGGTATGGTCCATATCCATCCATGGCCTATGGATCCACAACCGTAGCCTATGAGGCCTAGCCGAAGCTCCGGCACGCGGAGAAGTTGATAGATCGCATCGGGACGTTCTTGAACCTGGCCGCGCCAGCTTTGAGAACAGTGGCCGCGCCAAGCAGTGCAATGTTCAGCCAGTTTTTAAAAATAGAAAACACATGCTGAACATTATAGAAAACAGAAAAAAATAGAAAACAAAATTGTGCATCTGAACATCATTATAGAAAACAAATGCTGAAAAATGCTGAAAAATGGTTTTCTTGATCAACATGGGTGAGGGTAGGCACAAAACATGAGGTTTCTAAGCAATGCGCCTTGCACCAAATGATTGCTGGCTGAAACAGGCTGAATCTCGCCATTTTCGCTTGGTTTATTTATCATTATGTCTTAACATTCTATCACTTGTATCCAGAGGCTTGACTTATCTTGACTTGCTAGTTGATCGTACAGTCATAATATATCCAGATCTATGGTGGTTTTCACTAGCCACGAATCGTTTTTTTTAGGTTAGTTCACCCCAGTTTTTGTTCAATGGATTAATATGGATTACCCTCTGGTAATTTAACATAGCTATGGAAAATCACCACTTTTAACGGGAAAACCCACTATATATGGTCATTTTCAATAGCTATGTTAGTCATTACCAGAGGGTAAGCCTACTTTTCCCTGGGGTTATCCACTTCTCCCACTGGGGAAACATCCATCCCAAAGGATGACCTCGACCTGCATGCGGGTCTCATTGTCCTTCCAGTAACCTCAATGGGGCGAAGACGGGAAGACGTGCCCCAACCATGGAAAAACCATCTTAAGGGTCCGGGAAAAATCACCATTTACTTAGATCAAATGGCTTATGTTGAAAGATATATATATATATAATATATATATGTACATCAATATACATGGTATCTGAAAATGGTCGACTTATTGATGACAGAACTGCCTGCCACGCGAAGAGGAACGCGAAGAGGCATGCGCACAGGAACGCAAAGATATAACAAAACCATGTTTTTGATACTATTTTACTGAATGTCTGAATGACAAGCATCCAAGCATTGGAGACCTATTTGGGTAATGCCAGAGCGGATCACATCGGCAGCTCGAAATGATTCTAAATGTTCCAGCTCTTTTGAAAGCCTAGCCATCAGCAATTCATCAGTTATGTCAGTTGGATTCCATATCACGCTCAATCCTATAAACATTTATAAACTCATCAAGGTGTGATACACCATGATACTTCCAACAGTTCTTGTGAATCTTTACAAACAATACCCTCCTGTCAACATACAGAACGATGATGAAAGATCAACCTGGAAGCCCAGGTTCAAAGAGGTGCGTTTCAGCTAGGCATTCCCCGAAATGAGAAAACGGACTAGTAATCATGTCAAGTCGATGATGATGATGATGATGATGATGATGAGGATGAGGATGAGGATGAGGATGAGGATGATTGTAAGGGTGGAGCAATATCCGGGTTGGACGGTACATCGGTGATGTATTAATTAACTAACTAACAATGTAGTATCTATTCATATGATACATTGCCACATTGCATTGTATTAACCTACTAAAACATCTATCAATAATGGCAGGTTGGATTGCCGCAGTGTACTCGTTCCAAAAGCCATGGAGTTGTGGTCTGACAATGATCCACTCCCATAGCATCCCATACGTTCGTACCATATTTCAGATACCCTCTGGTTATGTCAAAATAGCTATTGAAAATGACCATTAATAGTGGATATTCCATGATATTCCCATTAATAGCATGGTGATTTTCAATAGCTATGTTAAATTACCAGAGGGTATTTAATGGAATCATATGGAATCCTATTTCTGAGCCATACCATCCCATACTCATATCACGAATGGAATCTGTCTGCTTTGCATTACAGGCTCACACCCGGGTGACATACATATGACGCCATTCAGATACTTCGCAGTTCCTTCAACAAAAAAACAAAGGCCATTCCCATGGTTTGCCTCAAGGAAGAGTAGGCCGGCCTACAGCCCGCTGGCAGATTGGCCCAGCGGCTCTGATAGACTTTGGCCAACTTTGTCAGAGAGAACTCCTGCGGCAGCAGAGTTCAGGATGATAGCATGATTAAGAAAAACACATCACACGGCAGAACATACCCTATATATCAACATTATTCTTAATCATGTTATCACCCTGCCGACCGTGCCGGATATCTATAGGAATGGGGCACTAGCTATATTAACACTCTTCTTGGGGGCATGAACATCTATGTGTTATTTGCCTGCTATTTTGGTGTTCATCAGGGTACTGCACCAGGCTTTCGACAAACTTGGCAATGACTTGCAGTCAGCTGATCATAGTAGAACATGATAGAACATGCAAGGACACTTTAGAGTTACCGCAATTGTGTGATGTTCAAATCACATATTTAAAAAATACTTGGTTCCTCCCAAGGTAACCACCAAATGGATTCAAATGATATCGATACTGGTCCCCTCAAAAATGGATATAGCATGTCAGCGTCCAAATGAAGGTTCAGATCATTTTTCCCCACAAGAACATCTCTGAAAATGGATAGAACACCGAATTTTTCAAATCTCACCATCCCCCCAAATCATCACCATTTTTATAGCTGGTATGGTTACCATTCCCAAATGGTAGGTTTATGGCATTGTTTTACCCACATTACACAACAAAAAATCAAATTGGAGGTTTTTGATGACTATTCCCAGGGTCAGTCACCCTTTCGGGGCTCGGCTCCCCCTTCTTCTCGTCGTAGTGATTGAGGTTCTGCCGGAAGTGCGTCACAGCTCCCTCGTTCAGCGCACGCAAGCGCGCAGCAATGCACTCCTGGGGGGTTGAAGAGCAACCAAAACACGGCTACAGTACTCAATGATATTGAATGATATTCAATGAAATTCATTGTTTTTTTTTGATGTTTCTTTGATCTAGATGCCAATTATCAATTTATGCTGTGTCTTTTCCTTTCGAGGCGATTGCTTTTGCAAATAGCCATTAAACATGCCCCACTTCTAGACACAGAAGTACATCATACTGTCTGGTTGGTGGTATACCTACCCCTCTGAAAAATATTAGTCAGTTGGGATTATTATTCCCAATATATTAGGAGAAAAACATGTTCCAAACCACCAACCAGCTGTTGATTGATGATCCATTGCCTTCTTAGGGGCTTTGTTACGAAGCGTTGCATGGTACATGGGTCACGGGAAATATCAATCGTTGGGGGTCCCATGTGGCTATGAGTCAAAACAGCCTAGTGAACATTAAAATAACTAGCTGGATAATGCTGATTAATTATATAATGGAAATTAAAACCCAAATATATTACAGTAATTTCATATTTCATATAGGGTTTGACCATGCTTCCAAATGTCAACAGCCAAAGGTCGGATGGATCTTAGGGAATGTTGATACTGGCTGGTGGCTACAAGCCATCATCATCCCATGGCAAGAAAAATCGCCATGAAACCACCTTAAAGATCAAAGATACCAACACATTCATTCATGAAAATTGATGGTTGCGAAGCTGGAATTTCCAAGCCTTGACAATGGTGGAAAATTGAAGCTCCAAAGATACTGTACATTGGATATCAACTGATGAAGCCATTCAAAACTCGGTCCTGAAAATATAAATGATTTCCATATACCACATGGATCCACATGGTCTTTTTGCGGCTCGAACCATAGTTGAATGCGTCCACTAATTCACATTCCCTAGAAATCTCAGGTTCAAAGGTATGAAATGTCAAATATCAACAAGCTACTTGGATACTCCTCCAAGTTAACGAAAGGTGACCGTCACGACGGTTTCACCTGCCAGACGAAAATGGCTTGGCCTATCTGACTAGATAGATGCTGATAGATGTGCTGTCCAGTCCCGGAAAAAAGTCGGACACGTTGGAAAGCCTGGAAATGAACATTTCAGAAAACAACATCGACTACGCACTGGAAACATCTGGAAACTATATAGGTGTGGGTCAAAATAGAAGACCTAGGGGACCACAGATGTTAGTCTAGTGTAGTATTAACCATCCATAATTTTGGGGTACCTAATTTTGACCCATACCCATATAGGTGTCTATCGTTTTTTTTGGGGTGCCCCGATAGCATACAAGCCGCCACTTGGTCCCGTGTCACGGCTCCTGCACCACTTGGTCCCTTGCCGGTGGCTTGGTGTGCCAAGTATGGTTATAACTCCACTCGGGTTGATTCGGGGAATATAACGATTTTTAAAGGGAATCTTAAAGCAACTTATAAGCTGGAGTGCATCACCCTGTGTTAGATATTGCATGTGTCTTTTCGGGGCGAAATGGGAGTTATTAAAACAAGAAGACGATTTGGTATGGGTATGTTTTCTACTTTTAAGGAGAGTATGTATATTGGCTGTTTGTTTCCAAAATCTTTCTAAGCAAATCTTGGGCCAATGGCTTAGTCAGTCATCGTTCTACTCATTGCTGCTATCTTTCAGACCCGGTTTCAGACCGTGATGTGTCGTGGAAAATCCTGGTTAAGAACGGGACTCGCACTTGACTGGAGGACGATCATATGTATAATGATATATACTAATATATTATATACTATTTATAAAGAATATGTTAATAACTCCCGAGCCATATCATCAACCAAGCGTCATTTATCAACTATAGTTTTAATCAGATCACCATATTCTTGATGATTAAAAACCTGCGGCCTACCACCGAAATCGATCCAAATCGCCTGTTGAAAAATCGTTGCAGCCAGGACACAGGGTTTGATCTTCATCGTTCTTCTGCTCCCCAGTGGCTTTGCCACCAATTCTTCTCTCCTTGACTATGGCAAGGCGGCAAGGCTTGGAGGACTTGGTGGTAACTTGTGAATACACAAAAAAAAAAACGGCCTCATGTAAAATGAGACCCCCTTTATAGCATTTTATAGCTAGTTGCTGGGATTATCTGTTATTGAATTGGGTTTACCGAATTGTGTAAAAAGATTGGACATTTGTCATGTTGGAGGGTTGACCCCTATGTCCAAAGTTGAACTGGTAAACCTGAAGGATTCAGTTGCACCGCAGGCCCCACCAGGCATCACACCTTTCCCAGAAAAAACATGGGCATCCGAAATATGTGTTTCAAGCCACTTAATTACAGAATACTTCTTTGTTAATAAAGAAATATGAGTCATCAAGGTTTCAGAGCCTTTGAAAAACACATATGTTGCCTCACTGACATAAAACAAACCCATTCTATCAAATCTGACTCTTGGTTGTTCATAGCTGTTTTGTTGCTTTTATACATGTATCAATCTCTTCTCCCTCCCTTACCCATTGGAGACATCTATCCAATTGAGGGTCCCTTATTTCTGTTATGTCATTAGAGGAGAATAGGGGAAAAAACATATATGAATTTCTCGGGTGAATCCCCATTATATAGACCCCAAATTGATAGTTATACAAAAAATACCCATCAAATTCACTATCATATATTGAAATACCCATTTGACATACCTCATTTGGGCTCCCTGCACTTACACAAGCATCAAATATACAATTTTCCTCATTCAAAAAGCCATCAAAGGCCATAAATAATCATAGATAGCTATAACTGTTATGCCTATATCATCTATAACATTCTATAACATTCTATAACATTCTATAACTGCTATAATTTGATAGCCACTGTAGCCATTCAAAAGTTACGCCGTCGATCTTTCCCCGTGGCCATATGTCCAAGGCTCATGATCCTCCCAGGCACTCCGGAGATTCCTCAAGCGTTACAAGGAAGGAAAGGAACACCCGTTGGAAATCATGGGCAAATAGGAATGCATCAAACTATGTCTATATAATTCTATATAATCTCAATATAATATAAACTCGTAAAACTCATATAAACTCATATAAACTCATATATAGACTCTATATATAGACTTTATATAAACTCTATACTTGCTCATCCAAGGTGGACAAAACAAATCACTTCTGGTTGGATTTGTTTTGCGAAGATTTCTTCAGCACCAACGCATCAACATGGCATCATGGTGCTGGCTGATAATAAGCACCCTGAAACGGGACTGAGTCGGGCCACTTCTCTTTCTCATCCAGTTCGTTTGCCACATCCTCCTGGACACGGATAGGGCGCAGCAGAACCTGACCTCTAAGATCAACGAGGAGGACCATGATGGAAGCGATCACCAGTCCCTAAATGATGTTGAAAATTTGGAAAGTTCGGGTTTTGTTTTAGTTTTCATTGGAAAAATCAGAAGCAAACCCGTCTTGGGATGCTTTCCTACTGAGCAACATTTATTGCCTGGTCGCTGGTGGTCACCCCAAAAATGCCATCTATAAATGGGAAAGTGACGTTTGGAACCCGTGGATTTAGGGGCACCCTGTACATGTACTTGCTACATCCAAATTTATTTTACATGTTCAATCATTTTCATGTGGGAATTAGGTTGACCAAATATGATTTTGGGATTTTCCCGTTCCCTACGTTATTTTCTTGCACACAGCCATGGCTGGGTTTGTATGGAAATAGTGTATCCCAAAATCCAATGGTTGATCATGATCATCATTCCTATTATATAAATAGCCATAATATGCCATAAATCCAAGGGCTTAATCATCATTTTCCCTGTTTAAATCAAAAATTACTTTTCCCAATCTCCCTCCAGCTCAAGGATACGCGTCTCCCTCAATAAAAGTGGTGTTGGTTTAGAATGACAATAATTATACGGCTGGGGTTATATATATATATAGTATATAAATATGTATACATATATAGACTGCCACCCTTCTATTTTATCCCGCATGGTGTCAGAATTAATCAATATTTGGATTTGTTTGAACTGCAAAGGCTGCATCGGAAAATCCATCGGTCCCGAACGGTACAAGAAAAAAACTTGAACGAAAAAAACAACTCCTAGAAAAAAATCAGCCAGCTAAATGCATACTGAGCCAGCTCGGTGTCCGTCACCATCCTGCCCAATTCATATTACGAATTCGTCAAACACTGTCACATTCGTTCGCCAGCTCACCTTGAGGTTCCGCGCTCAATTTGTTCGAGTTGTTTTTGGTTTTCGCTTTTTTTTTTGGCGTTCAAAAAAAATTGAGCCAGCTCGATGCCACCAAGCTAGACCGATGTGTTTGAGCTAGCGTGGTGTTGCTGAGGTAGCTCGTTCCACTTGAGCGAGCCTGCAAACTGCTTCCCAATGTGGTCAATTGCCAGGTTCAGTCCCAAATGATTCGTTTAATAGAGATGGTACCCCTGTTGCAGCCAAGAAATTTAGGAACCATGTTTTGGGCCAAATCTGCTTAGGCAGCGGCACAACATTCAAGTCAAACAGATGACCCCTTCTGAAATTGAGCCAGCTACATGTTTTGAGCTAACTCGAAAATGAGGAAGATTGTGGGTTGTTACATTCAATTAAATATACCATAATTGGGGGTATACTATCCCATTTTAAGACGCGCATTTTGGAACGGAACATGCAGAGGGCCTATAAAGATGCTCAGCAAGTTGAGCTGGGAACACCAAGGTTCCGTAAAATATGTCTATTCACCAAACATGATCTACATATCGTATATACAAATACAGTATATATATATATATGTATTTAGTCAGATATCATATATGTATAATCATATATATATATAAATTTAAATATATTATAAATATAATATATTTATATATATCATATAAACAACCTGAGCCGATCTGGCATGGCAGGGGCGGCAGCCGTTAAATAAATATTATCATTAGCACCACCTGGCAACTGGCACTGTCCGTCCCACCTGGCACTTGATGAGGGTCAGATTCAACTCCTCCGAGGCGCTGAAGAAACGACCCACGAAGTCCAGCCTCGCGGAGGCTCCGTTTTCGCCAGCGGTTTAGGACTGAAGAGTAGCTTTGTTTCAGGTGGATTTATGCATATTGTGGGGATATTGTTGATATATATTATATGAATATTTAAATCTGATTATGTATTTATAATTCTATGTGTAGACCTATCTTAAATGTTTGTCCATTTATATGTACATGTGTATGATATATAATTTTATAAGTGTCAACCACAGCTTCGTATCCGCTTGGCTATCCCAGTCGCATGGTTCTGGCAGAAATTCTGCCAGACTCTCCAGTGGAGCCAGGTCAAGTTTTTCCGCTTGGGCATCAAACATGGGGATTTGGGAGATTTCATCACCAAACTTTTGGACGTAACTATTTCAAACAATTGGGATTTATATGGATTTATCCTATGTAAAAAAAAAAATAGTTTGGTTTATAGAATATGACCCGTTTCTCGTAATTTAGTTGGATTTATCCTATATAAATTAATGTAGTTTGGTTTATATATCCAACAAACATGCAGAACCGGTTCAAACCACCAGAAAACAACTGGCAAAATTTTTGAGATGGGACCCCAGAAACAAAAAAGGCTGTAGAGGTGGATACAGTAAGAAAACCCACTTCAAACATCATCAGACTTGAGGAGATTGGATTTTACCACCTACAAAATGTGTGTTCATCATGTTTTCATACACTTCTAACTGGGAAATATATCAACTTCAGGTACCGTACCAATCCAAAAAGTATCAATTCCATAATTTCAACCAACTTCGATATTCATAGAGGAAATCTATGGAAATCTTCTCCATTTTTGGAGTTTCTAAACACAAAACGTTGCCGTGACCCGGTATTTTGTCCTCTGGGAGCCCTGACAATGGTTCCAGGCCCCGGCTGTTCACAAAGTACTCGTGCTGATCCTGACAGATGACAGCAGATGACAGCAGACAGCAGTGGTTTACAACCTCATATTGCTGGTTGGTGGTGCAATAACCATCTTGAAAAATATGAGTTCGTCAATGGGAAGGATGACATCCCATATATGAACTGGAAAATAAAATTCATGTTTGAAACCACCAACCAGATTGTGATCGACCTGAAGTAAACACATGATAAATATTGATAAATGCTGTTACTAGTTCATGGCGTTTCTATATGGTAATCATATGGTCTAGAAATGGTGAATAACTAGAAACCATGATAAACACATGATAAAGCCATGGTGAATCCTACCTGTCAAAACATCTAAGATGTTTAGCTGATGAATTAGGACTAATGTTACCATAGCAAAAAAAACAAGTACTAGCTCGTATCTAACCAGTTGGTTGACACAGTACAGATGATAAGAACTGCTCTCCACCCTGAATTGGTGATGAACGAACGTAATTATACTTGACTCAAATGATGACCATCTGTTTTGGAGCTCACCTGGATCTTGACTTGACATTGCCAGCCGTGGTTGGTTGCCAAAAACTAGTCTCTTTTCTTAAATGGGTCTGTAACAAATCTGTCTGACAAAAAAGGTTTGATTCTATGGTTTTTCTCCCAAGTTTGATGTTTCATTGTGCTGGCGTATGGTGGTTTATCATCATTTTTCTTCGGACAAGTCCAAATCATTCCAAATCAATGTATAAAGGGTAGCTGGGATATGCTGCCAAATTGGGGTACCCTCTGGTAAACTAACATAGCTATTGAAAATGGCCATTTATAGTGGATTTACCCATTAAAAATAGTGGATCTTTCCATAGCTATGTTAACGTTTACCAGGCCGGGTAATTCTTGAGTTCTTCAAGTGATCATCAGCGCCAAGGCCGTGCTTCTCTCGGAGGGCACGGATGTGAACCTTCATGATGTCGTTGTAAGCCCGGCTAGCTTTGGGCACAGCAGTCCACAATCCCCGCTCTTGAAGGTTAAAATCCATTTGTTCAAGATGTTTAAAACATGATTCACATCCATCTGCGTGGAAGCGACTGGCTAAATCCGCTCGTTGCACGGTAAAATCACTGATTTTTGATTGGTGAAATCACCATTTTGATGGTCAAAATCTATCTGTTTAATCATTTGACCCTTCAAAATTCAGCTCCACGCTATAAGGTGCTGCCCCATGTCAAACTAATTTGCTTTGTAATTTATCGCCACGGCTTCCATGGCAACGTGTTACAGGAAGGTATTCAGCCCTCTGCTTTTATTGTGGCTGCAGGACTACTGAGGACTTCAACTGCCCGAATGATCGTCATAAAACAACTCTAAATCCCCCATGTTTCTTGGAAAAAAACACACACATTTTCTTGCATCTGCTGCTAAAAATCACCATAAACTCTCTCAAAAAATCACCCAAATCGTGGAGGTTTCCAACAAGTCATGGTACCCAAAAATCCTCCATTGATGGATTTTCCATGAAATAAACCATGAAATAAACCATCCAGCGTGCTTGGGGGTACCATGACTATGGAACCCCACATTGTTGCTGACACCATGAAATCAACCGGCGCCATCGCCTGTGAATCTTCCATCTCCACGGCATCGCAGCCGTCACTGACGTGCCTGGAACGATCATTTTCAATGAATTCATTGATGGTTGGTGGTAATCCATTGGAAAATGGTAGGTTGGTAGGTTGGTCATTGGTAACTATGGAAATTGATAGTTGTTAATTGGTTACTGAGTAAACTGAGTACCGCCAAATACCGATGGATTATCAGTGTTTCCCTATGAATATGGCTAATGGATAAGTACTATGAAATTGGAACACTCGATTCGCCATGGAATTTTCGAGTTTTCAGTGCGATAATATATGCATGTATGTACGGACGTAGGTAGGTAGGTAGGTAGGTAGGTAGGTATGTATGCTAGTTGCAATCCTAATGGATTAGTTAACGGATTAGTTAACGGATTAGTTAATGGATTAGTTAACGGATTAGTTAACGGATTAGTTAATGGATTAGTTAACGGATTAGTTAATGGATTAGTTAATGGATTAGGTAATGGATTAGTTAACGGATTAGTTAATGGATTAGTTAACGGATTAGTTAATGGATTAGTTAACGGATTAGTTAATGGATTAGTTAATGGATTAGTTAATGGATTAGTTAATGGATTAGTTAATGGATTAGTTAACGGATTAGTTAACGGATTAGTTGAGTGGATTAGTTAATGGACAGTTTTAGTAGTGGCTACGTATACAGTGAATCATGTTGTTTTTTTGTGGTCACATCACCTGGGATCATCGGGTTACGATCACCAGATTTTCCAGTGAAATTCTCAAAGGGATGATCCTCCGAAAGATAGAACAGCATCATCCGATGCCATGGCGATGAATTAAATATTGTTTTCATATCTTATTGGCGTCTATTAATCCCCAAACAAGAATAACACATATCGATTCTAGAACTTGGGAAATGTCCTCTGAACTCATTTGGACCATCTTTCCTCTTCAATCTTTTATGGAGTCCTATTCAGTGGATTATGATTCTAGAAGGAACAAGCGGCAACCAGGTGTTCTGGGTCACAGTGATTCGGATAAGAGGAATCCTCAACCCCGAGGCAAATACCAATCCCGCCCAACAAAAGTTTGGATTGATAGTATGGACTACATTTGGTACAGTACATACTGTGTCTTGTTAGTTGAAGTTGAACCAACATCTGCCGATTTGCGGGATTATCTCGTATACTACTGTGCAAAATATGTGATTCATCACAAAACGGAAACATCTAAAACATTGAGACGTCAAGGATTTTTTGGAAGGGTCATTCATTTGCTCTTGAGTAGCTGCTGAAACGCCCAGAGTGAAAACCCACGTGTTTTTTGGGGGAGCAAATAATGCCGATGTGCACATTCTACATTATAATTATATAGTTCATAAACGTTCATAATGCCTGTAAATATATATATATGTATATATTTATAGACAATTAATTAATTACAGTTATCAAAAATTAATGAGTATATGATTATATATTAATCATGATGAATCACATGTATACCTATAGATTCAAGTAGAGTAGTAGAAGAGTAAACCCCGATGTGAGTAGATTAACTGGGATGATGCATGAACTTACGTTTGATCGTTGATATGTGATCTATGCCACGTTCTTCTCATTGATCAACATGTGAATTGTCTCAATACATCCCACTAAGTTACTAAGTAGGAAGGGATGAACTACAAAGTATCATTGAAATCTTAGGCTACCCGAACAACAATTAAAGTTTACCCTCTGGTAAACTAACATAGCTATTGAAAATGGCCATGTATAGTGAGTTTTCTCATTAAAAATTGTGATTTTCCATAGTTATGTTAGTTTACCAGAGGGTACTTGTTTTGCGATTAATCCCTTCCTCCTATCACTAAACGTCCCCCAAATACTAAAAGCTAGGGTCCATCTCTAATTTCGGAAAATTTCAGATTGGCCAATTTGACTTCTAATTGATCTCCTTTAGAAAACAATTTAAAACTAGTGGGTTTTGCCCCTAATAATAAAAACTAGTTCACCCCGGGGTGTTTATTATTAGGGTCCGTCCGATTTTTTTCGTTTTTTTTTAAATATTAGGGCTTTTAATTTCTTATTAGGGCCCGCTTCAAAAAAAAAATGGCAATGTTTTAATTGCGTTATATAAGGAAATTTTATTGATTTTGAGATCGGAAAAATAGTTTTTATTAAGGGTTTAATTTTATTAATAGGGTCCGCTTCGAAATCTATGTTTGGCAATATTTTAATTGCGTTATATAAGGAAATGTAATTGATTTTGAGATCGGAAAAAATAGTTTTTATTACTAAGGGTTTAATTTTATTATCATTTGTGGCCTCTAGTAGGCACACTACAAGTATGCACACTACAGCTGGTTGGAAAATGAAAAAAAATAGGGAAAAATAGTGAAAAATAGGAAAACATATGAAAAAATAGAAATTCATATGCAAAAATATAAAATAATAATTACAAATAAAAACAAATAAAAAATAATACCAAAAAATAGCAACAAATAAAAACACAAATAATATAATATTCTAAAATGTCAGAAAAGTAATCACTAAGAGATTGAAAAATCAAAACCCTTGGGTGTAATCTGAATGGCTGGAAGCTGGTGTTGTCCATCCAACACCCCTACTCCACCCCACAGTGACTCACACTTTTTTCTCCTCAGACTCTCAAGCGCTTGGATTTGGGTGGCAGTGAGGTGACATCATCCCTCAACATCTCAATCACATCAGCTTCTATATTTCCAGGAGTGAGGATTTCCCTCTCTGGCAAGCTGAACCCAGGTCTATGCTTCAATTTCTCAGCCCATGTCTCCCATGCATACTTATGCACAACAGACAACTTGTCCTGCCAACTAGCAGGATCTTTGGAATCAAAACACCTGCTCCTACTGCCAACTTCAACACCAGTGTTTGGTGAAGCAGTCCATCTATGATCATTACCTGGGCAATGGGCACAGAAAAGATGCAAGTGTAAAAAAAAACATGTTGGAAATACCAAACCTACTTGATTGGTACTAGTTGGTAGGTGTTGATACTGATAAAACCAGGTGTAAACAACCATAAGGGTGTTACCATTGTTTTGGCCTACAATCAAAGGATCCCTGCTGTGAAAAAGGTGGCTGAATCCACAAATGAATGATAATGAATGTTTCCTGTAATGGGTGCAACCCATAAACAACCAAATTTGATTAATATCATAATCATGGAAAACACCAATGGCTTGGGGACCCCATATGTTAGAAAACTTCTAAATGATCAGCACACACATGTTGTGGCATAGAAACTGATGGAATCCACTGCCCAATTGGCACCAGCCAGAATCATCATCAAAATTAAGGGCAGCATCATTCACATTAATCAATTGAGCCAGTAAAATACAATTATCTTACCTCATTACACCAATTGTTTGGTAAGTTTCCTTACTATGGTTTATCATAATCCCCCAGTGCATTAGGTAGTATGATGAGTCCCTATAGTAACACATCAACCTTTTTAATTGGTCAGTTGGGTTCATGAAGGGATAGCAAAAGGCAAACAACAAGACCACCACATGCTGGAAATACCAAACCTACTTGAGTGGTACTAGTTGGTAGGTGTTGATACTGATAAAACCAGGTGTAAACAACCATAAGGGTGTTACCATTGTTTTGGCCTACAATCAAAGGATCCCTGCTGTGAAAAAGGTGGCTGAATCCACAAATGAATGATAATGAATGTTTCCTGTAATGGGTGCAACCCATAAACAACCAAATTTGATTAATATCATAATCATGGAAAACACCAATGGCTTGGGGACCCCATATGTTAGAAAACTTCTAAATGATCAGCACACACATGTTGTGGCATAGAAACTGATGGAATCCACTGCCCAATTGGCACCAGCCAGAATCATCATCAAAATTAAGGGCAGCATCATTCACATTAATCAATTGAGCCAGTAAAATACAATTATCTTACCTCATTACACCAATTGTTTGGTAAGTTTCCTTACTATGGTTTATCATAATCCCCCAGTGCATTAGGTAGTATGATGAGTCCCTATAGTAACACATCAACTTTTTTAATTGGTCAGTTGGGTTCATGAAGGGATAGCAAAAGGCAAACAACAAGACCACCAACCATGCAGCTAGGAAGCTGTTGAGTCTGATAGTGATCCCAGGAGGTGATATCGATGCCAGAATTGCAGGAGAAGAATATATCCTTGGTCCTCTGGATCCAGGTACCTTAGTTTTTGCAGGAACTGTGTCAGCTGAAGGGCCTTCCATGCTACCACTAGCAACAGGAGGTGGCTCAGCTAGCTCAGTGTCAGCTGAAGGGTGATCCCCACTACCACTAGCAACAGGAGCTGGCTCAGCTGGTTGTGGCTCAATTTCTTCAAGCTGGGCACCAGATCCTACAACAGGAGCATCAGGTAATGGCTTTGGCTCAAGTGCTGAACCCCTACCACCAGCATCATGCAGTGAACCAGGTGGCTGGGCATCAGGGGCTACCTCAACTGCTGAATCCTTACCAAGTGCTGAACCATCACTAGACAATGGACCAGCTGAACCCCTGACACCAGCATTAGGCAGTGGGTCAGGTGGCTGGGCATCAGGGGCTGCCTCAAATGCTGAATCCTTACCAAGTGCTAAACCATCACTAGGCAATGGGCCAGGTGAACCCCTGATACCAGCATTAGGCAGTGAGTCAGGTGGCTGGGCATCAGGGGCTGCATCAAATTCTGAATCCTTACCAAGTGCTAAACCATCACTAGTCAATGGGCCAGGTGAACCCCTGATACCAGCATTAGGCAGTGAGTCAGGTGGCTGGGCATCAGGGGCTGCATCAAATTCTGAATCCTTACCAAGTGCTAAACCATCACTAGGCAATGGGCCAGGTGAACCCCTGATACCAGCATTAGGCAGTGAGTCAGGTGGCTGTGCATCAGGGGCTGCATCAAATTCTGAATCCTTACCAAATGCTGAATCCTTACCACTTGCTGAATCCTTACCATCACTCGACAATGAATCAGGTGAACCCCTGATACCAGCATTAGGCAGTGAGTCAGGTGGCTGGGCATCAGGGGCTGCCTCAAATGCTGAATCCTTACCAAATGCTGAATCTTCACCATCACTAGACAAAGAATCAGGTGAATCCCTGATACCAGCATTAGGCAATGAGTCAGGTGGCTGGGAACCAGGGGCTGCCTCAAATGCTGAATCCTTACCATCATTAGGCAGTGAATCAGGTGGCTGGGCATCAGAAGCTACAACAGGAGCAACAGGTAATGGCTTTGGCTCAAGTGCTGATCCACCAATATTTGGCTGAACTGCTGGACCCTCACCACTAGCACTAGCAACATCAGGTACATCACAAACCACTGCAGCTGGTGCTGCAATTCCTGGGGTGGTATTGGCTGGGGGTGCTGGTGCTGCAGGCACTTCAAATTCTTCACATGCTTTCTCTCCACTGGCTGCTTGAAATTCAGGCATGTCATTGGCAAGGTCTGGAGTGCCACCATCAGCTGGCTCAGGCTGTGGGTTATTAGTGGGGGATGCAGGAGGTGTTTCTAGCAATAAATTTAGGTCCACATCATCTGGTGTGGTTGGATTCTCTTCTGGTGCAGGTGGCATTGCTGGAGGGTCTGAAAAGGCTGCTCTGATCTCTTCTTCTGTTGGGGCTTCTTGGCTAACCTCTGCCTTTACTGCTGGAGGGTCTGAAAAGGCTGCTCTGATCTCTTCTTCTGTTGGGGCTTCTTGGCTGGCCTCTGCCTTTCTTTTTTTGGAACCTTTGCCTCTGCCTCTGCCTTTCCTTCCAGAGGGTGTGTCTTCAATGGCAGGTGTGCCACCATCTTCAGGAGGGTTGCCTTTGGACCTGCCTTTGCCTCTACCTCTTCCCTTCCCCCTGCCTCGGCCCCTACCTCTTTTTGGTTCTAAAGTGATGTGGCCCTCAGGTACCTTTGGCTTTTGAAGCCTTCTCCTTTTGAGTTTTGCCCTCTCCTGCTTCACATCTGGGTCATTCCTGTTTATATCATCTTCTTCAATCATGCCAAGGAGCTCTTCATACTCAGAAACCCTGTCCTCCTCCTCCTCATCCCCTTGGTTGAGTTTCACTTTGGATTTTTGAAGAAACTCTTGCATTTGAAGATCATTTTCAGCATGTAGTTCCATCAGCTTTGCATAGCAGTCAGACTTTGAAGGTGCACCAGGTAAAACAACATCATGGGCTGACAAGACACTTTTTACCTCTTTTACAGTGAGGTCTAATCCATTGTGCAGCCTGGCTTTGACCAAAGGCATTGGTTCCCCAACCTGTTTCAAAATCAAAGCACCATGCTCATTCTCCAAAACTGTGGTAACAGGTACTTCTAAGTAACCTTCTACTTTGGTGATGCTTCTGAAAACCATTGCTGATTTTTGGGCAATTGGTTTGAAGAAGAGCTGCTCAGTGCCAGGATCAGTTCCATCATCCTTTGGGAATACTTCCAGTCGCCATGCTGTGAACCCACTAATGGTTTTGGCTAAAACCAAAAAAGATTGTGCTGCCCCTTCATCAACCAACACTGACCCTGGGCCCCCCACCAAGCAGGAAAGTTGCAAAGTGTTTGGTGTAATTGCATTGTTCATCAAAAACTCAAAAGCCATTGCCTCTTCAAATTGGGTCTGGGCAGATGTTGATGGCCAAAAATGAGCACCCCCCTTATGTTGCATCATCAGCTGAAACTCTCTAGACATTTTGTGGGAGTTGGGGTTGGTTAATGGTATCACTCTAGGCAAGCTTTTTACTGATGCCACTGCAAGCTCCAACTCATTGATACTTACATGTGGGACTTGCCTGCTCTGAAGAATTTTTGCATCCATGCAAGCCTTGTACTTATGAACCCTTGACCTCTGATTGTGTCTAGCCTGCCTAAGGGTATCTTTGGCTGATTGGTGTGTATTCTCAATGCAGGATGTGCAGCCCAGATGCAGGATCAAAGCTCTCATGATAACTGATGCCAGGGAACCATGGCATTTGAGATCCCTCTCATTCAAGAGGAAGCACACCCTTGTGATAGATTCCTTCAGGAAATGCATGGCATCCAACCCTGGGATATGCTCACCCTTGGCATCCCTCCCTTCAAGACCCAAAAGTACTTCCCAAGCATCTTGCATGGCATCCTTGCTTGTGGCTGCAGCACCAGGCTCTGCACAAAGCATTGCGCAGTATCTCACTGGTGGTCTGAGGTACTGGGCAACAAGGCTCATTGATCTCTTAGCTACCAGCTTGCAAAGAAAATCAAAATGTATCCCCAATCTGTGCAGCTTTGTATTTTTTGAGGTGTCTTGGTGTGGGTAAAGCTCCTTCAAAACATCAGGTGTGAGAAAACCTTGTATGACCAAATCATACAACTCATCTACCCACCCTCCCTGGCACTTTTCTATGGTGAACTGAGCTACCTGCTGGGGTGTTAGAATTTTCTCTGCCCTTCCAGAATGGTGGGTCCAAGAAGGCTGTGCTAACAACTTGATCAAATCTTTTTGGAACATTGATGCAGGGGTTACTAACAGGGGGGCTAATGCCCAAGTTCCATGTTTCATCTTAAGCTGCCTCAACTCTTGTTTATCAGTAAGCCCTGAGGTTGGCAGGGAAATAGATTCTTCTTGCCTCACAAACTGGCAGCAATTGTTTGGACTGCAGTTTTCCCTGCCTTGCAGCATTATTAGTTTCAATCCCCAGCATTCTCCTGAGTAGTACCTTTCACATTGGAACCAGGAATACCACCTCATAAGTTTTACAATGGGACCCAGGGCTCTTATATGATTCATATCAAGTAGGCTATTGAAAAGTTGCTCTCTTTCTTGGGCTGACTGGGGCTCTGCAACTTTTCTTTCCTTGCAGATCCAAGGTATGAAAGACACAAAAGGTTCCTCATGGGGTGAGGTTGAATTTACTAGGTCACTGGCCATGGATTGCTTCCTCTGAAACCACTCCTTTGACCCAAAAGGGCCGTAATTTACATTAAACACTAATGCAAATGATAAGAAACATTTGAAAAGGTCACCTTTTGATTTTTTGAGTGTGTCTTTTAGGTCATTCCACCCCCTGTGATAGGGGTCGAATTGAATGTGCATACTGAGACCTAGCTTATATACCAAGTAATCTAGGCCAGCCCTATTAATTCCACCTTGATCACTCACACTGATGAGAAGAGGTGTTGTTTCAATGCAGAAATCTGATGGAAGCTGAGGTCTCTTCTCACCAGTTCTGGTATCTACTACCCAATACTGCCCATCACTCCAAACCCTTGTTTCATGTGATTGCAAAGGCTTCCACAGTAAGTCTTTGGGAAATCTAAACCTGTCCAAGGGGAAATTGACAGCTTTGAGGGAATGGCTCAAGGCCCTGATCTCATTGTACCCAGCCACCCTGGTCAGCTTGTTAACAGCAGACAAAGCTTGAATTTCTGGATCTACTTCATTTTTCAAGACTGGTTTGAGATTTTGTATTGGGGGATAACATGCCAAACCATCTTGTCCACATTGCCCTGAAAACAAGATAGAAACAAAGGTTTCTACATCATAGCTGGAGGGATCCCAGTGGACAGCAAAGTGAAAGCAATCTTGATAGGCTTGCTGAACCTTTTGGCAATACAAGGAGGTTGCCAGCACCTCTTCATAGCTAACCATATTCATTTGGCTTGGAACCAACTCTTCATGAGAAGTGGCAGTTTTTTTTTCCTGTGATGCCTAATTTTTCTCATTTTTTTTAAGAAAACAAGTTTATTCATCCAAGGCACTTTCTTAGATCTACCTTTTTTTGTTTTGAGCAGGGGCACTTTTGAGCAGGGGCACCTGCTCAATTGGAAGCTTTGATCTCAGGAGTGCATACTGGCTTAAGATTTTAGAGCACAAAAACAATACCTTGGGCCAAAGGAATTGGCCTAGGTAGTGCCATACCTTCCTCATCTGCTGATTGTTTTTAGCCCAAGCCAGAAGCACAAGAAGGTCCCAAAGAGTTGGGTGGGTCATGGCAGAAATAATTTTGTAGTTACAAAAGCCTTGTGTCATCAAGTGGCCCCAGGCCCATGTGAAGCCTGTGTGCTGCATCAGCAAGGTGTGCAAATTTTGCACAATACCAGTGGCATCAACTTGCAAGCATGTCTCATGATATTTCTTGTCCTTACCATAGCAAATCCCTGGGCAACTCTCTATGGTTTCCAAAGCTGCAGCTGACACTTGCAAAAGGCCAATGATAAGGCTGAGGGCATTCTGCTTCACATTTGCTGTGATCTGCTTGGTATTGGTCACTAACACCAAGAGCAAAAATAAAGCACTACTGCCAACAGTATGGTCACCCCTGGAATTGGACTCCCAGCCCTTGTATTGGATTTGGCTAGCATTGATTTCTGCAGCCATCATCTCTGACACATGCTGCTCCCTATTCCTGGCAAGAAATTGTGAGGTTCTGTCATTTTTCATGTCAATAGCATTTGCAACCCTGTTCCAATCCCAATGCACTTCCCCAGTATCAGAGCCAACCATTGCTGTAAGGCAAATACTCCCATCCCTAACCCTGACCACAGCTGGTCTTTAGGGCAATGCAGCTTCAACAGCATTATCATCAGGTCTGATTATAGAGAGTGCACTTGCCACTTGCCTACTGTCACTGGAAGAGCCAGGCTGGACTGCAAGCTCATGCCTGCTTGCCTCTGGTGCCTCTGCTGTAGTGGGAGGCAATGCAACTGCTGTGGCTGGTGGCAATGCAACTGCTGTAGTGGGAGGCAATGCTACTGCATGGTCAAAGAGCCAACTGTGCATCCTAGCAGGCCCAGCATTGGCCTCCATTGCTGGCTCTGGCAAAAATGCTGGTAGTGGTGGGCTGGGCAATGCACTGGAACTGGAAGTGTCCAATGGCAAAAGCACATGACTTGGCAATGCACTATCATAGTGAATGGCTGGGCCCTGAACATCAAACCAAGAGGTTGGACAAGTACTTGGCTGTGCACCTACAACAACATGTGAAGGCAATGGCACACCATGCAACTCACATGCACTGGTACCAAATATACCTCCAATGCCTGCAGCAAAACCACTGCTTGACTCCAAGCTATTTACCATTGCATCATCAGGCTGACAAGTAGGTGTGGGCACACCATGTGACATTTCTGGGTGCATACTGCTGGTTTCAAAGCCACAACTGGGATGTGGTTCTGGCAATGAACTGTTCTGGTGCTGAGAGCCTGGCAAAGGTTGATGCAAACATGAATTAGCATTTGGGCTGCTTCCAAGCTCACCTAAACCCATGTGCTGCACATTGGCCAAAGTATCATCTCCAAAACTATGTGTGGACATGATGTCCTGTCCTATCCCTGGAGGCACAGTGCTGGCTTCAAAGCTATAACTTGGATGTATCACTGGCAATGCACTGCTCTGGAGCTGAAAGGCTGGCACAGGCTGGGGCAAACATGAATTAGAATTTGGGCTGCTTCCAAGGTCACCTGTACCCATTTGCTGCAAATTGGCCAAAGTATCACCTCCAAAACCATGAGTGGACATGTCATGTGGCAGCTCTGGTGGCACACTGCTGGCTTCAAAGCCACAACTGGGATGTGGCACTGGCAATGCACTGCTCTGGGGTTGAAAGCCTGGCAAAGGCTGAGGCACAAATGAATTAGCATTGGGGCTGCTTCCAAGGTCACCTGTACCCATTTGCTGCAAATTGGCCAAAGTATCACCTCCAAAACCATGAGTGCACATGTCATGTGGCAGCTCTGGGGGCACACTGCTGGCTTCAAAACCACAACTGGGGTGTGGCACTGGCAATCCACTGCTCTGGAGTTGAAAGCCTGGCAAAGGCTGAGGCAAAAATGAATTAGAATTTGGGCTGCTCCCAAGGTCACCTGTACCCATTTGCTGCAAATTGGCCAAAGTATCACCTCCAAAACCATGAGTGGACATGTCATGTGGCAGCTCTGGTGGCACACTGCTGGCTTCAAAGCCACAACTGGGGTGTGGCACTGGCAATCCACTGCTCTGGAGCTGAAAGGCTGGCACAGGCTGGGCCAAACATGAATTAGAATTTAGGCTGCTTCCAAGGTCACCTGTACCCATTTGCTGCAAATTGGCCAAAGTATCACCTCCAAAACCATGAGTGGACATGTTATGTGGCACATTTGGAGGCACACTGCTGGCTTCAAAGCTGTGGCTTGAATTTGGCACTGGCAATGCATTGCCCTGGGGTTGAAAGTCAGGCAAGGACTGAGGCAAAAAAGAACTAGCATGTGGGCTGCTTCCAAGCTCACCTGAATCCATGTGCT